ACCGAACCGATCATAGGTCCAACTCTGCAAACCAACAAATATTTTCGTTTAAAATAAAATGCATTTTGTACCTACACTGGTTTAGCATTGCAACCCAATTACTGAAATGTTCAATATTTACTGTTATATAAAATCAAGTTAAAACATTTAAATAAAGGTTTAAACAATTTATTTGTTTATTTTGAGTAGGTAATTTTTTTGATGGGTTACATTTGTGGATTAGGTTATACTCGGTTAGGTTATATTCGGTTAGGTTATATTAAGTTAGGTTATACCAACCTTATTGCGAAACTCGACATAAAACGGTATACGCAAATTAGATTTGACTGTTTGTTTAAATTCGAATTAGATCTACCAACAGCAACTTAGAGACACATTTAAATCCATCGGTTTTAGAATTTAACCAATTCGTTTAATTTAATGTAAGTATAAATATTATTTGGAAACAGTGTTTTTGTAGGTAAGTTTCTCTCCGTAAATTAAGGCTGGTGACATTTTGTCATTGACAGAAATTTTATTTAATGGCAATAAAAGAACAGATCTGTCAAAATTTGTACACGGGTCTCAGTACCGCAAGCACAAAGTTTGACAGATCTGTATTTACCATTTTACCGGACATAATAACAAACTAACTTTTTCCATAAAAACTTCCGACGATGGCGACACGAATACTTTCTCGCTAGCTGTTCGTGCTTGTGGTACGGTACAGCTCACGTTTCACAATGAACGTTATGGGATTTTAATTTACTTGAGAAGTGCGTTTTGAAGATTCATAAAATATCTCACTTCAGATGTCATTCATTCAACAATTTCATTTTAAAGTTTAACTAAAATGTTTAAATTTCACATTTTAACCGACAAGTTTCGTTAAGTTGTAGTTTCTTTATCAGTAATTTATCATTTTTTGTTATCTCACTAACCCTGTTTTGAATTCAAGCACGAAGGTAGTCAAAATTAAAAATTCTTTTTGATTAACATTCACTTCAGCAGTATTCACACTAAAATCACATTAAAAAAGTTACTTAAGTCCCAAAGCGTAAGGTTTTTGCGTGTACTTTTTATTGACACTCGGAACAAAGTTAAGAGACTTTAAAATAAGTTAGCTAGAGTCTGTGCGTGAAAGAGAATGGGCGTGGCGAAAAACGGAACTAACATTAAGATTTTTATTTGGCGATCAAACCCAGCAATCTGTAAAACGTCAAAGTTTTGTATTGATACGGATTTGTTTGTTGTTGTGATTTCTTGCGGTTTTTTGTATTTAATCATGTCCAAAAGGGGTGAAACCTTACAAATACGGTAGAAAAGCACTACAGCGCCCTCCAATCTAAATCCCTTCTCTTTCCGCACAGACTCTAGGTGAAGCTTCGTCTAGAAACCTAACATATTTATTTTTTAAATAAAGCTCAGTTTTATTTTTCCACGAATTTTTTTAATTATTTTTTTTATTTCTACATGTTTTCCTTTTTTTTTGTCTAAATAAATACTAAAGTTTAAGAATCGGGTTGACTATGAATTCCAAACGTTTATTTATATAAATCGGAGGTCAAACTCATTGTGACTCATTCGATTCGGTAGCAGTATGTTAATCTTCGCACAAAGCTTAGGACGTTTTAAATATCGTATGATTTACAGCAAGGCAAGCGGTTACACGACAATATGACGAGAGTAATTTATAGATCAAAGCAAAGATCACACTACAATCAGCCTAGCTGTAATGCCAAACAAGTGCTTCGACGAAATATTAAAACGCCGCAAAAGGTTTTTGGCAATATGAAAATTAAAAGTACCCATTGCTGCCATCTGTATTTAATATAAATATGAGCAGCGATTTTACTATCAACTATAGAACAAATTAATCATAGCTTTTCAACGAAATCATTAAATAGAAATTTTGTTTTTTTTTTGTTTGAAAACGCCTGGAATTGGCGAAGACCAAAATGACGTCACACCTAGCGTGTGACTTCAAAGCAGAAACGCAAAAGCAAACTTCCAGTCACACTGACATTACATCGTCTCGTTTGACATTTTAATGACAGTCGTGTGACGTCACATATTAGGGAGACGCCAAATTGTTCAGAGAAATGTGAACGCGGTAACATTTTCTCGCGATTTTTTTTTCTAAATAAAATATGTACAAGAAAGAATGATGTATATCCGTTTATTATGGACTCCATAAACAAGTAAATACAGTGAGATCGTTTTCTAAAACTTGACGAATACCCTATTGGCCGTACAGCTAAAAGCTTGTCTGCTGAGCACCAAGCTTGGCTGTTTGTAGTATAGTATCCTTGGACTTACAGTTAGACAGACGCGCGCAAAATTGACCTTTATATCGGTAACACATAGAGTCTGATTTAGCTCATCACTAATTTGAGTAACATCGATATAGTTAGTGTTTTTTTTTAATATATTGATGTATGCATATTTCTTATGTAAGTTTTCGTTTTTCTCATATCAATAAACACATTTGTTACACTGGGCCTGCCAGTATTGTGTAAGTTTCAATTTGGCAGTGGTAGATTTAGCTATAAAATCTCGTTTTAAATGGAAAATGAAAATGATATAATCATAGTATATAGACTTGCATCAACTTAGATAAAACATATCATACATATTTGCAAAGTTCTTGACACATTTCGAAAATAACATTAGTCTAAAATAATTTATATACGAAATCTGTTTCCCATCCTATGAAGAACTTCTTATTATTAGCAAAATATCATATTCTTATGTTTTTACGAGAACCAATTTTTGTCCTGACAAATCTACTGCCGCCAAACCGAAACACACCAAATGAAATAACAATTCGTTAATAAATTTACACATAAAAAACTATATGAAACAAACAATGTAATGCGCTTGTTGGTTACAATTCTTTTTTTACACGTACCTACCTCCATTACAGACAGAAAAACATACCATAAAATAGGGATGATGACTAATTTTTTTTTCTTCGTTTATCAGGTAGATTATCAAAAAGTATTGGACACGTATTTTTTCTTTTTTCACATAATATAAACATTGCAGAGATACATTGATTTCAAAAGTCGCATGACGTCACGTTTGAGTACACTTCATCATCATCATCATCAGCCTATTAATGTCCCCACTGCTGGGGCACAGGCCTTCCCTATGGATGGAATAGGGAGATTGGGCCATGACCCACCACGCGGGCCCAGTGCGGGTTGGTGGGTGCTAACGACTGCAGATGCAACCGGGACCAACGGCTTAACGTGCCTTCCGAAGCACGGAGGAGCTCGAGATAGTAAATTTTTGGTCACCCATCCAATGACCGACCACTGCGAAAGTTGCTTAACTTCAACGATCGCAGCCGAACGCGCTAACCACCTGCGCCATCGAGCTCCTCGATAGTACACTTATAAGTGAGAATTCACTCAAAAGTGACGTCACGAGCCCCTACTCCCAAACTTTGACGCGCTATAACTTTGTCATTTTTTGGTTGATTGCCCAAAGAAAAAATACGTGTCCATTATTTTTTGTTCACCTAACTGACGGACTAAATAGAATTTCGTTTACTGTACCCCGTCATCACCCCTATTATCATAATATACGGGTAATAATAATTGATAACATTAATTACAAATTTCGTACGAAGAGTTCCATTTTATAAACAAATCTCGTTATATTAGGTCTTTAAAGTAATACAATTCTCCAAACCGAAAAAATCTTTTTTGATAGTATTTATATCCTTGTCTTCTTAATAGCGAAGGAAAAAGATAGACTGGTAGCAAATTTAGTTTTAAAATTTACAAGAATTATATTAGAAAAAACTTGGGTTAGTACTCTTAAAATGAACAATGGATGTATTGTGGATTGTGCTCGCCTTTTCTTCAAAAATCTAATGGCGCGATTACACCTGATCGCTAGCCCGAATAAGAGTGTCAATGGAATTCGGGTAAACGAGTAAGGCCTGTATTATAGAAAGATTATCAGTAATTGATCTAGTCTTGAGCAGTAGTTAGAAAGGGATGCCGGTATGTTTAAGGGGTGGAGGGGGTCGAGTCAAATCTCATCTAATCTTACGTTGGAGAGAGGGGGGGGGGGGGGGGGTCTCGGCAAATATCACGCAATTTTTTTTCACAGTAGTATCTATTAAGTATTCTATTGTTAAATTTTTATTACACTCATAACTCTCAGCAATATTATTAGTGTTAACTAGTCGTAAATGAAAGCACGAAGCCTTTTTTTTCTTTTTACAATAACAATCTAACGCGTTTACGAAGGAAACCCACATTTTGAAAAATCTCACGTGAGATTGAGGGCTGGGGGAGGGGGTTGAATAAAATCTCACGACATCTCACCAGGGGGGGAGGGAGGGACAGAAAATCCAAAAAAACACCTCACGTAATTTATGGACATAGCCAGTGGCGGGGCAAGACCTAAATTTGCTGTGGGCAAGACATATTTCGCGAGGCCCTGTTCTGTGGCGACCTGAAGACGGATTTTATAAAATAACTAGCTGTCCCAGCGAACTTCGTACCGCCATAAAAAAATAGGGGTTGGTGGTGGAAGGGTGAAAATTTAGAGTTGTATGTATTTTTGTATGATGTATCATAAAAAATTAAAAAATATCAAGTTAAAAAAAAAATTTAGGGGTGGATTACCCTTAACATTTAGGGGGATGAAAAATAGATGTTGTCCGATTCTCAGACCTACCCAATATGCACACAAAATTTCATGAGAATCGGGAAAGCCGTTTCGGAGTAGTTTAACCACAAACACGGCGACACGAGAATTTTATATATTAGATAAATAATAAATAAATAAATATTTCCAACACTCACACCAATTAGCCTAGCCCCAAAGTAAGCACTGTAAGGCTTGTGTTATGGGATGCTAGGGTAACGGATAGAATACATATAACTGTACATATATAAGTATATTTATATAGAAATACATATTAAACATCCATGACTGGAGTACAAATACTCGTATTCATCACACAAACATCTGCCCCCACCGGGATTCGAACCCGGGACCTCTCGAGTCGGCGACACCATGAAACCCGGCGTACAAACCACTCGGCCACGGAGGTCGTCATAAAAAAAAAAGAAATTCGCTTTTAAGCAATGCATAAACATTTTTTAGGCGCGATGCCGTAGACGGTGGGCCACGTCGCCCACGCCTTACGCCGCCTCTGCACATAGCGACATCCCTTTCTAACTGTGCTGAAGTAAAGATCATCATTTAGTTGCCATTCTGTACCCTTAGTACGAGTTTTACAATTACGAAAACTATGATAATTTTCGTGACTTAATATGACTCGTACTAAGGGTACTGATTTTATTGTTTTCGTTTCAATACAAATAGACAGTGTTTAAATTCCATCATTAAATCATTTGCATCTTCTCAAATGTTTAATATATTTGGTTACTTTTCACCAAAATGGACATAGAAACATAATTTACAATTACGAAAACTATGATAGTTTTCGTGACCTCAAACTCGTACTCAGGGTACTGTAATACGTGCCTTAGTGTAAATCAACGGAGTCGAGTACGCTCGAATTCGGGTAGATCTCATTTTATTTGCCCGAAACCGTCTCCCAGCCCGTAATCCAGTGTGAATATTGCTTCGGGTGCCCGAATTCGAGTAATGTCTTTCGTGCACACGACCTAGTGTAAATTAGCCATTAGTAAGTTTGAGTAAGGATTTATGAAAATTCAACATCACGATATATCCAAAGGTCAACTTTAATTTGATTCTCATAAAACGTGGACTAAAAGTTAGACTTGGTTTAAACCAATAGATATAAGAGAATGGATTGAGCGTTGACGTGAGGTTAACAAACTGTAAGTGTGAGAGAGATGAAGCGATCGTGCGGCCCATCCTATTAATATATAAATGTTTATTATTCAATCACGCATAACGCAGAGGAAGTCGCGGGCGAAAGCTAGTGATAGTATATGTATTAGCTATGTTTTTCTGTCTTTCTAGAGATTTCAATTTCATACGAATATCACTCAGTCACTTCTCTATGTGTACATTGAAATTTAAAGCTGTCTTTGAAGTTTTATGCAAAGGGAGGTGACAGCATATTTTTGCTTGATAATTTTAGTCAACGTTTTGTGATAAATCAATGTGAGTACTAGACCGCATAGCAGACCCTACGTTTTGCTTAAAGAATATGGGGTGACGCCAGTCATGTACGGAAATATCGTCTTTATATCTAATCCAATAAGGACTATAATGGTCAATCTATAATATTTATAAAATTTGCCGTTTCTTCTCATATTAATTCATATTGGAAAAGGTAATTGCTTAAGTGTTATTTTTTTTTATTTCAATTAGTATTATTAGAAAGTTGTGCGACATAAAATTTATATAAAATCTTTGACAAAAACTATTATATTTTTCAGAATTACATATGTATACATGTAAATCAACAGCTAAAACAATTACTGAACTCAATGTGTGAAGAAATAATAGAAATTATTGGATTATTACATAATTTTTAAACGGATATGAGTCGGTATGATACAAATAAAGGCATTACCTATCTATCTATTAAACTTCCAATTTAAATGAAGATTTTCAACTTTGACTGTCACGTCTGACGTTCCCCCATTTAGCGATTGAAATAACTACATAATGTCACAGCCACAAAAAATTACGCTTTATCAATGCGGGCGTATTAAGATGACTGTAAAAAGAGGTTTCTGGTATATTGCATCGTATAACAATACTAAAGAAAGAAAGAAAAAATGTAATAATGAAATAACCAAACGCTCAATTAAAGTCTTTCGAAGGTAGCTCGACAAAATTAAATAAAAAATCATTATTCTGACGATGCAGACCTGAAAAGGCTGCGAAACGTCAATAAATAAATAAAGTTTCGTGCATTAAACCGTTAAAACTAGTTTTATTTAATACTAAAGAACATTGTTCTTACCGTTAAAAGAGGCCATTTCTATATTACTTATGTGTTAAAAATAACTCGAGTTAAAAAATGTTCTGAATGTAAGGAAAACATATTTGGACGATTCGAAAGAGTTGTATTAAATATCCATTTTGAATAAAGCAATTTTGATTTTGATTTCAAACGATATAAATATCTACATTGGTGTCGACTGGGGCATGATTCTTTCAACTTAAAACTTAAATTTAACATCAGTCTCTCCTTTTCATTCTGTATAAAGAATGACAAGGATACACTGTTGTCAATTTTGATTTTAGGTTTACAGAATCATGACAGAATTTACACCTATGCTATGCTATTAAATTTAACAAAGAAATCATTAAATTTTGAAAGAAATAACTTCAATTTCTTCCCTAAGAAACGCCAAGCTTGTTTTACAAAATATTAATATTAAGACACTAATAATGATTAAATAGTAATAAACAATACGATGCAATTACCATCCCGCCATCTACAGCTATTGTATTGGATACACATCTCAATAAACTACAAAATTATAATAGCTTACTTATTAAAATTCCTTGTAATTTCATTTTTGTCTACATTAAAATTAACATATTATAAGTAACATAGTCCAGTTTTTCATTTGTTTAAAAGTCAAACCGAGGAAAATGGCGGATGGCGGCCATTTTGTCGTGCCGCACTCTCAAAATGGCGAAGGCGGTACGGTCCGTTTCCTTGAAAATAAAATCGAAGTGTGGTTTTTTTTAACATTTGTTTTAATATCACATTTTTGCATTTACAGAAATGCCTTGGGTTTACCATCAGTTGAATTATTTACATTATAATTGTGGAGTTTGCTTCGTCTGTGTGTTGCTCAAAGAAGTTTTTAAGAACTGCATTTTCAAACAATGTTTTTAGATTTTAAACATATTTATGCGACAAAGATATACAGCCACATTATGCAAAAGTTTGTCGAATTATCTAGAACTCTAATTGAATAAATTTTATTTGATGTTTAACATAATATGATAGACATTTTTTTTAACACAAGTGGTTTTTAAAATGGCATTGTACAGGAGTTTAATTGAATAAAATATGCTACTTTTAGGTACCTATACATGCCGACAAACATTTTGAACAATGACCATAGACAAGGGAGACTGCACAATAGCAATTTTACAGACAAAATCGTTTACTGCTCAAGTTTCTTCGTTTGTGGTTTCGCTAAAAAGTTTACTACGACCTATAATGCGGGCACAAGTTAAATCTCAACAATGAGAATATTATTTAACGCCATAGCATTTATTTAGAACCTAAAAGTGGCTAACCAACTCTGCCATCCTCAAACTAAAGTGACATGTGGTGGATTTTTCAGCCCTAAATTGCATCTTATATAGTTTTTAATACTCTATCAATCTGTCTTTTAACAAGTATTTGTATCTTTTATAGTTTAAGTCTTAAAATCCGTGAGGTGCTGAATGGTTACAAAAAAGCAATGATTTTAAGTTTACGAGCCGTTTTTTGCCCATATCTCAAAAGTTGGTTGTGTCATTTAGCCGGGTTTTAGCTTGAGGACGGCAGAACTCCGTCCTAATTGTACATATTTATTTTGCATTCAGCAGTAATAAAATTAAATAAATTACAAATAAAATGTTCCTACGGATTCAAAATCTTTTTATAAGGCTTAAAACCAATTGTGACGGCAGTATATACTTTTTCACACTATATCAGAGAATGAAAAGGAGACACTTCTGCAGGAGTCTAGTTTATAAGTTTACAAGAATCTATCGATTGAAATTGAGACACATTTTACTTTAACAAAGATGACGAAACAAGCAAATCCTCCAGTTTCCTTCGTTACACCAACACACAGAATCTCCGTTTGTCTTCACCAAATTTCACTATATATGTGTCACTTAAACTGTGTCACTATCACATTGTCACTGCTAGAACACTAGAACGGGCCGAGCTACATCCAGAGGAGATATTTCACTATCACGACTATCTTCAAACATTTCATTAGAAGTTGTTGCATTGTCTTGGTTGATCTGCCGATGTTTGTAGGATATTGATGGCTTATCAGTGGAAAGGTAAGAGTCTCTTTTGGGTGCAAAAAGTTTATTCTGCATATCAGTTTTGTTTCTCTCTTCGGTAGAAAGTTTAGAATCTTTGGTACAAACTTCTGTATGGCTTAAAAGGTCATCGACTTTAGGGTCATCAACCTTTTTGGTGCTGGTGTGGTCATTGACATTTAGGTCATTGCCCCCTTGCGTTTCGCTGTTTTTGGGTTCATTGAACTCTGTCAAGCGTTCATTATTCTGCTCCTCTTTCTGTCTACCGTCTCTCTTGTATGTACAGTTGTTTTTCAATTCGCAGCCTTTCTCCGGATGATTTTTAGATGAATTTCCACACATTTCAATGTAATTTTTGAGACAATTTCCAGTTATTTTATGCAGACCGTCATCTCTAATACGTAAGACTTTCAAATCTGCTTGTCTTTCGACTCTTTCAACCTTTGCAGACTGGCCGGCTTTCAGGCAGCTATATTTAGCCTTATCATTAATATCCTCGGTAGATTTAATCTTAAACACATTGTTCTCTCGCTGCTGGAGTTTGAGGATGCAGTTTTTTGTCGTTTCCTCGATATCCTCAGTAGGTTTTATCGCAGAGACAGAATAACTCTGGACTCTATCAGCCGTTGCACTTTGACCAACATCAAGGCTGCTATTTTTAGCCATATCTTTCGTATCCTGGCTCGCTTTGCTCACAGACACCGCGTCCCCTTGGCGGTGGGTATCACTCTGGACCCTTTCAACGTTAATTTTAGACTTATCTTCGATATCGTGTGCAGATTTCATCGCAGACACAATATTGTAAAGAACCCTTTCGACCTTTCCACTTTGGCCAACTTGGAGGCTGGTGTTTCTAGCCTTTAGTTCGATATCTTGAGTGGCTTGTCTCGCAGATGATGAGGTCGCTGCGTCCCCCTGGCGGTGGATATGTAGAGTGGCGGGTTGTCACGTGACCTCCATCGGGAGAGAGTCCCTCCTCCGTACGGCCTCTTCGTCTGCCTCGAGCGGTTCTGTGGCGCTTTGTACGGGAACCGAACCCGTTTCTGTCAGCTCGCTGGAAATGGAAAGAAGAAAGTTAGAAAAATCTTTATAGAAGAAGAATAAAGAAGAATTTACTAGAAAAAATTTTCACGTGGATTAGGCCGTCTGCGCTGCCTCGAACTTCGCTCTACCCTTCGCTGTCCGAGCGGATAGCACTGACCATTACGCTACCGCGGTCCTAATGTCCGTGTCGAATTTTCTCTAGTGTTTGTTAGGCTACAAGGCAGCGCCGTCTCTTCGCATTGTAGGTAACCCACAATGTCAAATGAATACCTTTACAACTATTAAACATTTGATAGAGGAATGGTAATGAAGGGTGCAGGTTCGAATCCCGTCTGCTGTCTTGTCCGCAAAGAATTTTTCTAATAATATTATATTTAGATTCAAATATCTAGCAGTTAAAAGCAAAAAAATTATAACATTGATTTATAATCTTTTATAAAATATACAAATCATCATCAGCCTATTAATGTCCCCACTGCTGGGGCACAGGCCTTCCCTATGGATGGAATAGGGAGATTGGGCCAAGACCCACCACGCGGACCCAGTGCGGATCTGTGGGTGGTAACGACTGCAGATGCAGCCGGGACCAACGGCTTAATGTGCCTTCCGAAGCACGGAGGAACTCGAGATAGTAAATTTTTGGTCACCCATCCAAAAATCGACCACTGCGAAAGTTGCTTAACTTAAACGATCGCCAATTGCGAATAAGAGAATGATATATATAGACAACAGCTACATGGCAACATTGGTACGCACTCACTTGTTGTGAGGCGGTCGCTGGCAGGGTTGCCGCGCCCGTAGATGCGGCGCGGTGAATGCTATCGCTTGTAAGTTGGCCGCGACACCCCTAGCTGTGGCCACGGGGACTGTTGGGGTAGCGCCCTGAAACGTTAAGACAAATTGCTTTAACATAAGATAACTCTAACTAAAACTACCTTACTAACTAATATTTTTCTAACTAAAAAAAATAAATAAATAAAAACATAACTATAAGATAACTCTTCATTATAACACCAAAAAATACAATAATCTCTTATCTATTAGACAATTCGTCCGTCTGTCTGTGGTGCTGTTTCAGCGGCCAAACCGTAAGAGATAGATAAAGAGAATATTTAAGTTATAAGTTAAGAATAGTCTGATAAGACTACAAACCGGATTTGAGTAACGTAGCACTTCCGGTTTTCGAGAAATCAGGTTTTGGTGAACATTTGGTTCACTGGTTTGCTAGTATGAAAATAACTTAAAAAAATGAGTAGTGACACAGACGGCGGTCTTATCGCTAAAAGCGATTTCTTCCAGACAACCATGGAAAGTTTGCAGAAACCGAAAGATTAATACATTATTATGCAATACAATACAATTACATTAACTCATAAAATAAAATGGAAACGGGGACTATTGGGGTTGCGCCCTGGAACGTTGAGATAAATCGAGGCCATGAGAACCATAGTGGCTTATCTTACTAAGGCCAGTATGACACCTAAAATCTAGATCACAGACTAAAAACCGTAACAGTAATTATGCTGCCATCTAGTAAATATTCGTTGTATCACTTATAGAACACTCTGCTTCTATCAAAATGATCAATTTGAACTGTAAAAAATCATAAACTCGATATTGTAAAAAATGAGTTATGCCACTATGGTTCTCATGGCCTTAATTGCTTTAACATAAGATAATTCTAACTAAAACTATCCAACCAACTAATCTTTTTCAAACTAAAATAAATAAATAAAACTTAACTATAAATAATAAATATAAATATTTCCAACACTCACACCAATTAGCCTAGCCCCAAAGTAAGCACTGTAAGGCTTGTGTTATGGGATGCTAGGATAACGGATAGAATACATATTTAAACATCCACGACTGGAGTACAAATGCTCGTATTCATCACACAAACATCTGCCCCCACCGGGATTCGAACCCGGGACCTCTCGAGTCGGCGACACCATGAAACCCGGCGTACAAACCACTCGACTACGCAGGTCGTCATAACTATAAGATAACTCTTCATTATAACACCAAAATACAATATAAAAAAAATAGAAAAAAAATAGAAATTAATTCAAATTCAGCGGGCCCAAAACCTCCGGACTGAAAAAAGTAATTTTACCAGATGCATAATTATAACGTTTCGTTCGCCAGCTCCTCAATTGTAATTCCAAGTAGATCTCACCTTCTGCACCAGGCTGGCGACTACGGCGGAAGGCAGCCCCGTCTTCGAGCATGACGCGTTGCCCGTCAGCCCCGACAACGTGGACACTCCCGCGGCGGACACTTGCACCGTGCGATTCTTTAGTTGAATCTGTCGACACAAAATATTCGAATTATAATAATTATACTAACATAAACGCACTGGGCCCGCGTGGTGGGTCATGGCCCAATCTCCCTATTCCATCCATAAGGAAGACCTGTGCCCCAGCAGTGGGGACATTGATAGGCCGATGATGATGATGAAACATATTATAACGTCCATGCTTCGGAAGGCACGTTTGATTATAAAATGATGATTGTAAATTTGTACAAAATTGGATCTGTTAAGCCTTTCGTCTCAGCGGAAGTTGAATAGAGTATAAGCATTAGACTCGAGGAGCTCGATGGCGCGGGTGGTTAGCGCGTTCGGCTGCGATCGTTGAAGTCAAGCAACTTTCGCTGTGGTCGGTCATTGGATGGGTGACCAAAACTTTACTATCTCGAGCTCCTCTCGAGCTGCTTCAGAAGGCACGCTAAGCCGTTGGTCCCGGCTGCATCTGCTGTCGTTAGCACCCACCAATCCGCACTGGCCCCGCGTGGTGGGTCATGGCCCAATCTTCCTATCCCATCCATAGAGAAGGCTGGTGTGCTCCAGCAGTGGGGGCATTAATAGGCTGATGATGAAATGGGATAGCATTTTACACAACTATCCTGGGTCATATGTATGCTTACCTCTACAACGACAAACCCCCCCACGGCAACGGCTAACTAGAGCCGAGGTCCGAGTCTCAGAGACGCCCTCTAGTTGAGCCGACCCGATGGCCCAATTTCCCTATTCCATCCATAGGGAAGGCCTGTGCTCCAGTGGGGACATTAATAGGCTGATGATGATGATCTCCCTATTCCATCCATAGGGAAGGCCTGTGCCCCAGTGGGGACATTAATAGGCTGATGATGATGATCTCCCTATTCCATCCATAGGGAAGGCCTGTGCCCCAGTGGGGACATTAATAGGCTGATGATGATGATCACCCTATTTCATCCATAGGGAAGGCCTGTGCCCCAGTGGGGACATTAATAGGCTGATGATGATGATCACCCTATTTCATCCATAGGGAAGGCCTGTGCCCCAGTGGGGACATTAATAGGCTGATGATGATGATCTCCCTATTCCATCCATAGGGAAGGCCTGTGCCCCAGTGGGGACATTAATAGGCTGATGATGATGATCACCCTATTCCATCCATAGGGAAGGCCTGTGCCCCAGCAGTATGATGATGATCAGACTCACCTGAGCCCTAGGCGTTGGTATGGCAGCTCTGACCAGATGCCTCGCGTCCAGAGACAAGCTGACCCGATGCGCTCGAGGGGTTGCAGACTGGGGGAGGGCGTTTCCCCCCCTGGGGACGGCCGACTCCCCCGCCCCCGCCCCCGCCCCCGCCCGGACCGCGCCGGGGGGGAGGGAGGTGGTGCTGCCCCGTACTACGTTCACGAGGTGACCGGTCTGATGGGGGAAATAACAGGGAAGAAATCAGCTAAAATGCTTATGGTATATATTAGACTTGCAACGAATATTCGGTTACTATTCGGTATTCGGCCTATTCGGCTGCATTTATTATATTCGGCCGAATACCGAATACTTAAATAATATATTTTGTAATAGAGAAATAACTGGTAAAATGAATAATTAAAATCGATTGATTACGTATCTTTATATATATAATTCTTCTGTGAGTGTGTATGTCACTGAACTTCTCTTAAACGACTGGACCGATTTTGATGAAATTTTTTGTGTGTGTTCAAGGGGATCTGAGAATGGTTTAGATTCACAATTTTGTCCGCTGGACAACCCCTATTTTTTTAGGGCGGTACGAAGTTCGCTGGGTCAGCTAGTATATTCATATTTTCATTTCTGTTATATAATCATTTGAGTAGTCATTGGTACATAACACAGGTACATAATCATCTTCTGAATTGGAAAAATGGAGGATTCTATGTATTTGATTTATTGTGGTAATCAAAATTTAGAAGGGTAAGATTCTCATTTCTTTTATAATCATTTATTAAGTAGTCATTGGTACATAAAACGGACACATAATTTAATCATTTTCTGTATTAAACAAGTTAACAGTTTTTAATTTATTCAGTCATGTGACGAATGGTTACATAATAGCAATAATTTAAAAGTTTACGCGCCGTTTTTGGCCATATCTCAAAAGTTGGTTTTGTCATTTAGCCGCATTTTAGCTTGAGGACGGCAGACTAGAACAAAACAAAGGAGCGCGAAACAATCACGTCTCTACAAGTTTTTGGCGCTAAAATCTAGCCGAATTCTTTTGCCTAATATTCGGTCAGGAGCTTATTCGGTATAAAGCCGAATATAGTATTCGTTGCAAGACTAGTATATACTTATGCATTATTATATGAGGCAGATGTTTGTGTGTTGAATACGATCGTTTGTACTCCAGTCAAGGATGTTTAATATTTTATCAAATTTTGAGAATCTAGTGCAACTTCATACAAAATTAACCTAAACATGGTTAAAAATAGTGTTTATTTATTGTAGTTACATTTTAAGATTTCTGTAGATACATTTGAAATATAAGATCTTGGATTAAAGCAATTTTCTTCTGTTAAACTGTGGTATGTTCGTTATCATGTATTTTTTTAGAATTTTAATTGTAAACAATTGTTGATAACAAATTATGTTTAAAGAATCGTGTCTAATGTCATACAAAAATTACCTAAAAAACAGTGTTTAAATTATTTTAGTACAACCCCTCAAATTATCAATAAATCAGTCGAAATCCTATAAAATTACTTATTATCCTTTGTTTCAATCAGTTATCTATAAAAACCAGCCTAATACGAGACGGAATACACAGATCAAGGCTTCAATCAAACTTGAATAACTACTATATTTTAATAGGCTAGTTGACCCTTTTTGGAAAAAGGTTTTAAATGGTTAATAAATGTTCTATTAGACCGAAAAAAAATGTATTGTATTTTTTTTAAACCTAGAAAGCTACAAATCTTTAATTTTAAAATAGACTTTTCATGGACATACAAAAACGCTGTCGGCCATTTTAGTCTATAGATTGTCTATGCTATGACGTGAACTGTGGTAAACAAAAACTCGTAAAAACGTAGAAAATTACTTTTAACTGAGTTTATAATAAAAAAAAACATGATTTCTAATAAATACCACGAAAAATAAAGTAATTATCATTACTGTATTGTACGAGAATATAAAAACACATCCTTGAAGACTCCAGGAAAGTTGTGGATTAAAGTGCCGAAAGAAATTAACCTACGCAACTTTATTACACTTATTCATATGTTATATCAGTTTTATGTTTATTACTACAACTGAATACAGAAGACTACCCCAGAAGAGAAAACCGTCTTAAAGTAACAATCGGATTATGAGAAAATTAGTCTCAGGAAATGACTTTAAGAAATTATCATAATACTAAAGAAACTACTATTAAAACTACCACAAAAAGGCGAAATTAATTTAATTTATTATTTAACTTATTCATATGTTATATCAGTTTTATGTTTATTACTACATTGTAATACTAAATGCACTGAACTTACATAGATGCCTTGTCGTTTCTCTGCTCCGCAGAGCAGAAATCGGGGTTTAGTGCAACAAATTCACCAACCATTAATGCGTCAATTCTTGGCAGATTTGTGCTTTCTGCTTTCACAAAGCCGGCATCCATAATTTGTTTAGTCAAAAAAAACTAAGTTTACTGCTTTTTTCTTTCCTAAAGTTAAAAGTGTTTTAAGATAAATTTAGTCAGACGAAAGAATCCACCTACAGTAACACGCGAATGACATTTAGTTGTTTACCACAAGAGACGTCAAAATCATGGGGAAAGTGGCGAACAGCGTTTTTAGTGTTTAAAAAATATAGACTAAAAAATATTTTTTTAAATTAAATTTCTACAGCAATCTTCTACTTTTATGAAGTGAAATCGATATATTAAGGTTCCTTAGACTAAACACTTTAAGAAATAAACATTTATTTAATACAATTCGACATGAGTAAACTAGCCTATTCAGTCTGTCCCTATGTTCCATAAGGGATAGAGGACTGGATGAGGGCGTTTCCCCATCTAGTTACCCCTGACTCCCCCGCGCACCTCGGACTACGTTCACTAAATGTCTAAAAGTTAGTCTAAATTCAATACCTAATAACATATAAATGGTAAAGGTGTTTAAATAATTTCAAATCAACGTGCGATCCGACGGAGAGAGCTTCATTCTAATCCGAGTTCATCTGTCTAATCTATGTTTATTTTAGCGGTTTGTGTGTACGTGTTAAAAAAGGCAGTGTTGCCATATAACGTCATAGTATTATTTCAAATCTGCCGCAAAGTGTGATCCGACGGAGAGTGCTTCATTCTAATCCGAGTTCATCTGTCTAATCTATGCTTATTTTAGTTGTTTGTGTGTACGTATTAATAAAGGCAGTGTTGCCATATAACATCCTAGTATTATTTCAAATCTACAGCAAAGTCGGATCCGAGGGATAGTGAGACACCGCCTCGTGTTATATACAGGGTGGAAATTTTGAATGTCACCCCCAGGGGAAGTACTCTAAATACTGGAGGTAGATAATTTTACTCAAAGGAAACATTCCTTTATTTTCAAAAAGAAACACAACTGCATTCACAGTTTTTCGAAAATTTGCTTGCCACATCCGGGAATCAAACTGCCAAAAATTCGAAAAAATTACACCCTGTATTTTTATGGCATCGATCGATAGGGTCAATCATAGGGATCATACGTTACTAACAAAGTTAGTACATTAAATTAAAGGAAAAGCATGAAATCTTGATCTTCTTGATAAGCCATTATTTATTTTAGTAAATTTTGATGTAACAAGCAAGACTTAACCCCCCCCCCCCCTCTGAGATTGGTACCTTACTGGACTCTTTAGTCTGCATTTTAGACATGTGCAAAAATTCTTTATTCATCATTTGAATGAATAAATGACGTCGAAGATAATAAAAATACTAACTCCTGTAATCTGGTGGGATAAAACTGCTTTTAGTCTCGTTCCATTCAGTTAAGATTTCACGCTTTTCCTTCCATTTAATGCACTAAGTTTGTTAGTAAAATATAATCCTTATGATCGACCCTATCGTTCATAAAAATACAAGATGCCATTTTTCAAAATTTCGCTAGTTCGATTCCCGGGTGTGGCAAGCAAATTTTCGAAAAACTGTGAATGCAGTCGTGTTTCTTTTTAAAAATAAAGGAACGTTTCCTTTGAGTAAAATTATCTACCTCCAGTGTTTAGAGTACTTCCCCTGGGGGTGGCATTCAAAATTTCCACCCTGTATATAACACGAGGCGGTGTCTCACTATCCCTCGAATCCGACTTTGCTGTAGCTTTGAAATAATACTAGGATGTTATATGGCAACACTGCCTTTATTAATACGTACACAATAAACACTAAAGTAAGCATAGATTAAGACAGATGAACTCTGATTAGAATGAAGCACTCTTCGCCGGATCACACTTCGCGGTAGATTTGAAATCACAGTAGCACGTTATATGGCAACACTGCCTTTATTAATACGTACACAATAAACACTAAAATAAGCATAGATTAGACAGATGAACTCGGATTAGAATGAAGCACTCTTCGCCGGATCACACTTCGCGGTAGATTTGAAATCACAGTAGCACGTTATATGGCAACACTGCCTTTATTAATACGTACACAATAAACACTTAAATAAGCATAGATTAGACAGATGAACTCGGATTAGAATGAAGCACTTTTCGCCCTGTATACATACACATACCTTCCCCAGTTGCGCGGCCTTGATCTCGATCAGTTGTGTGAGGGGGGGCTGCTTGAGTACGGGCTTGTTGTCCCCCATGGGGGACAGCGACACCACGCCGGGGACACCGGCACTGCGCCCTAACAGCTGCGCTCGCTGGGCTTGGGTCAACGGGTGGGCGTGGAGCACTGGAAACGAAAACATCAATACATAAATATCTATATATATAAAAATGAAACCCGTTTTCCGTTGTCACGACATAACATGAAAACGGCTTGACCGATTTGGCTGTTTTTTTTTTTTATAGTTTTCTAATACTCTGTACAAGGTTCTTACGGAAAAAAATATAAAGAAAATCCCAAGGGGATAAAATAAGGAATGAAAGTTTGTATGAAACTTTATCAATTTTAAACCGATCGGGCTGAGACTTTGCATGCAGGTATAGGAAGAATCATAGATGAATGTCATTGTGTATAATACAAGCCTGAGAACAAAAACTGTAGTCTACACTTCAGCTCTACACCGAAGCGAAACGAGGGCGGGCCGCTAGTTCATTTATAAATTTTATTATTTTTAAAGCATGCAACTGCTTGATGTTTAAACCTAAAGAAAATATAACTAGAAAAAATTCCACTCGGACCAGGCAGCGGACGGGACTCGAACCCGCACCCTTCGCGATCCGGGCGAATGCACTGACCGATTATGCTACCGCGGCCCTCACGGACCGCGTCGAAATTCTTCTAGCCATTCTTAAGCTGCAAGGCAGCGCCATCTCTTCGCATTGCCTTGCTGCATTGCTGCCTTGCAGCTTAAGAATGGCTAGAAGAATTTCGACGCGGTCCGTGAGGGCCGCGGTAGCATAATTGGTCAGTGCATTCGCCCGGATTGCGAAGGGTGCGGGTTCGAGTCCCGTCTGCTGCCTGGTCCGAGTGGAATTTTTTCTAGTTATATTTTCTTAATATTCATTTATTTAATACAATTTGTGTGAGACATTCAACTACGAAAAAGCGACACATGCACTTGAAAGAACTAACCATACAACTGAATACGGAAGACTACCCCAGAAGAGAAAACCATCTTAAAGTAACAATCGGATTATGAGAAAATTAGCCTCAGGAAATGACTTTAAGAAATTATCATAATACTAAAGAAACTACTATTAAAACTACCACAAAAAGGCGAAATTTACCAAAGAAAGACTACCACGGAAGTGCAAATTATCCTAAAAAACTACCATAGCTTGTTGTGGGGCAGGTGGTGGTGGTGCGGCGCCACCACGAGCGGCGCGTGTATATGTATATGTATATGTATATGTATATGTATATGTATATGTATATGTATATGTATATGTATATGCAGGCACGCACCTTTGAGCTTGTTGTGGGGCAGGTGGTGGTGGTGCGGCGCCACCACGAGCGGCGCGTGCAGCTGCAGTGCCCCACGCCCCGCGGGCCGGGCCGATGGGGCACTGACTGGGGTCGTCGATACGGTCACTGTACCTACAGGGGAAGACGCGACCAATATATACATTTGAAACCAAAGTTTTCTGCCATTTCAACAAACTCTACAGCTAAAAATTATTAAGTAAAGATTCCTTCTCCTTGCTAACCAACGGTGTTAAATACCATTTGATAAAATGTATCCCCAATCAAGAAGTGCTTGAACGCGACTCAAGCACTTCTTGGTTCACTTGGTCTTGCACAGTCACGCGCGGATCGTTGAAAAGTCAACATGCCGAGCTCTGTGAAAAATGCGAAATAAATACTTATAATAAGTAAAATGTCCTTTTTTCAGCAGGACATCTAATGTTTGGTAACTTAACGCCTTTGAAGTAAATTTTGTTGTAATACTAACTATAAACTGATTTAATAGAAAATATTTGTGATATTCTAATGCATGGTCGGTTATATATCCGTCTTGTACGGGATGTGTGTACGTACAAGAAAAGAAAATGGATTTTACAGAGATACCGTTTATTGGCACACGAAACTTATTTGACTAATGAAATAGTGTATGGAGTTTATGAGTCGCGGTTGAAACGTAGACTGATGTGTCGCGTTCTAGATTCGACACACCAAAGTAAAAATGCAATGCTGCTTTTCCTCCCGGTCCGTACTTGCAGTAAATACTAACAGCGCATTCAGAATTGCGCGTAGAGTCAAAGAAATAAGGTCTTTATTCTTACAAGTAAAGCAATAAGTCGTAAAATTTTACAAGCTTGCATTTTGAACTGTCATAACTCTTTGACGCATGCGTTTTAATTAAGACCTTATACGGTACACATTAAATGTGACTTTTAATGATTAAATAATGCCTTATATTGTTTTTGACTACGCGATCATTTTACGAAGCTCCGTGTATTGTCTAAATATACCTTTTGGACAAATATTGACCACATTTTAGTTCGCGATGTTGTATCTAAGATATTTAACATCGTTGTTGCTAACGAAAATTGTTAATACTGCCGAAAATTGACGACCTCCGTGGCCGAGTGGTTTGTACGCCGGGTTTCATGGTGTCGCCGACTCGAGAGGTCCCGGGTTCGAATCCCGGTGGGGGCAGATGTTTGTATGATGAATACGAGCATTTGTACTCCAGTCATGATGTTTAATATGTATTTCTATATAAACATACTTATATATGTACAGTATATGTATTCTATCCGTTACCCTAGTATCCCATAACACAAGCCTTATAGTGCTTACTTTGGGACTAGGCTAATTGGTGTGAGTGTTGAAAAAATATTTATTATTTTTTTATTTAAATATTATTAGGATAACGGAGTGCACACGCTACCCATTACGTCATCGAGCTGTTCCATAGAATACTTTTAATAATAATAAAAATCAGTTATTCCAATTACTGAACTTAATTTACTAAATAACAATTTTCAATTCTAGTAGCTTACACTAAAGGCTAATATTTCAAAACTCAGATATAACTTTTAACTGTTCAATAAATTAACTAGCAAACCAGTGAACCAAATGTTCACCAAAACCTGATTTTAAAAAAAATGTATTTAATTAATTGAGAACTTCGGAGATTTTGTGTGATTTCGTTTGAAATTCGTGATTTCTCGAAAACCGGAAGTGCTACGTTACTCAAATCCGGTTTGTAGTCTTATCAGACTATTCTTAACTTATAACTTAAACATTCTCTTTATCTATCTCTTACGGTTTGACCGCTAAAACAGCACCACAGACAGACGGACGGACGGACTTGTCTAATAGATAAGAGATATTCAATCAAATAGAGAGAGATGTCATCCGTTACATTGCACATTATACCAATCAGCACAAATCACCTCTTTATTTTGTCAGTATAATACGATTACAGACTCATAAACTTTATCCACTATTCGAAAAAACAGCCCTTAGTTTAACAATGTAGCATTCATTGCCGATCTAAGTTAGGAAATCTGTATTTCAGCATCCGACGAGTTTCCCCATAATAGGGTATTTGACAAGTTTTAGAAAATGATCTCACGTTACTAATGTTTATAAAGGTTGCTTTCCAATTACAGAGCATAATGCGACTCAGTGCCGCACAATGCCGAATTATGCTGATGCTTAATTGGAACGTCAATTAGTTTTCAAATGCACCAGCAGAGTGCGCTAAGTTCAGTGTTGAAAAAAAAAGTCAATGTTTGTACCTTCATCCATACTTATATTTATTTTTTAAAAGTTTGAATGAACTTTAATTATTTAAAAAAAAACTATTTAATGAAACGAAAGCTTTAATAATTTTTCAACAATAAATAATATTACAAACGATAACATATAAATAAAACATTTCGTTCAATGCCAACTTAAAGAAAAAACACTTGTTAATTTTCTGTCTCTAAGTTGGTACGATTGCACGCATCACACGAAAGCATCACTTTTGAGAGTGCTCAATTGTGCGAAGCGTTGCTGTAGTTGGAACACTCAACGTTAAGCATTATGCCGCATAATGCGCTATAATGCTGTAATTGGAAAGCAACCAGAGTCCATATAAAGTGGATATTCTTCATTATGTTGTGTATTTCGGTAAAAAAAACCAAATCAAAAACTTTATTTTCAAGTTGCCGCGAAAAACGTATCTCTGGACAATATGGCGTCTCACTGGCGTGTCACACGACTGTCATTAAAACGTCAAACCATACAATCAAATGTCGCTTTAACCGGAAGTTTACTTGCGTGTGACGTCATTTTAGACTCCGCCAATCCCAAGCGTTTTGGGTCACGTGACAATAGACAAGAAAGCTATTATCTTTATCGTGGGTTTTTGGTAAAATTATGACTATTTTTTCTGTAAAACTAGTAAAAACTCCTGTCAATCATCATCAGCCTATTAATGTCCCCACTGCTGGGGCACAGGCCTTCCCTATGGATAGAATAGGGAGATTGGGCCATGACCCACCACGCGGGCCCAGTGCGGATTGGTGGGTGCTAACGACTGCATATGCAGCCGGGACCAACGGCTTAACGTGCCTTCCGAAGCACGGAGGAACTCGAGATAGTAAATTTTTGGTCACCCATCCAATGACCGACCACTGCGAAAGTTGCTTAACTTCAACGATCGCAGCGGAAAGCGCTATCCACCTGCGCCATCGAGCTCTCACATTACTCCTGCCTGTCAATATTCATACTAAACACAGATAGCTAACAATTGGCACTTTATTTTTAATACTGTCAAATACCCTATTTTAACAATAACAAATCGTGGAATAAGTTAATAAATCTATTGATCTACTTTTGTTTCTTTTAAAAATAATTGTGTATTGATGTGAAACATCTTTACATTAATCTCTTTTTTATGTGGATTTCTCAATAAAAATCGGATATTCAGATTGTAGAATATTATTCATAGTAAAATACGGATCTTATTGAAATTATGTGCGTACGTTGTCTTTTTTGAATTCGAATTGCTAGAGAGAGAGTGAATGTATATAGAACTAATGAGTGAGGAATGAATGTATGAATGGACGATGATGATGGACCGATTGCAGCTTCTCTCGTCGAAGGATAGATGGCGTTAACAGCAATCATAGATCATTTTGAACTAATTATTTATAAGACTATCTTTACATATTTTTTTATTTTTTTTAAAGCATTTAAACATCAAGCAGTTACATTATTTAAAAAAGATAAAAAAATATAACTATAATTGCTATTTCTTCTTTCAAATGTTTAATACTTGTAAAAGTATTCATTTGACATTGTGGGTTACCTACAATGCGAAGAGATGGCGCTGCCTTGCAACTTAAGAATGGCTAGAGGAATTTCGACGCGGTCCGTGAGGGCCACGGTAGCATAATTGGTCAGTGCATTCGCCCGGATTGCGAAGGTAGCGGGTTCGAGTCCCGTCTGCTGCCTGGTCCGCGTGGATTTTTTTCTAGACTATCTTTATTTAACCTAGACAGGGCAAACCGCGTATTATTTAGAGGATTCGCATATATGTAATTACCTTTATGGCCAGATTGGTGTATGGGCAGGACAGCGACGGGCGGGAATGGCCCGTTCTGTACCAAAACACTCGTCGGAGACGACACCAGATGGTTTTGTAGGCGAACCTTGAACAAATACGTATGACACATAGTTAATATGAAACTTGGATATTTTAATAAACTAAATAAGTAACATGAGGTGAAATTGAATTTATATTACAACTTTTTGGGATGATTGGATTTCATGTGGCCCCGGTGTCTGTATGTCTGTCTGTCAGTAATTAAATCATGTTTTTTTTGAAGTTATACTTCTTTAGCCGCGTTATGAAAAAATTATGAGAGTGAAATTTTAAGATGCGCGCGCATCACTGTAACACAAAAGTAACATAATGAAGTTAGCCGCGGGCGCGTTATGAAAAAATGATGAGAGTGAAATTTTAAGATGCGCGCGCAACACTGTAACAGAAAAGTAACACCATGAAGTCGGCCGCTAAGCCGCACATTACTCGTAAGTCTCGAAAAAAAGCTTCCAACAAAATAGTAATAGGATCACATGTTGGGACGCTCGTCGCCTCTGATCACTGTTTTCATATTTATAATATTTATCCACATGTTTCTAGTTTCTATATTCTTAACACGTGTTATAATGTTATACAAATGCGAAATTTATATGTGCTAATAAATTTTATTCAGTAGTGATTTAAATTGAATATTTTGATTATTTATTAAATTTTTCAAATTAAAACTGAACTTTATTGACTGCGTTGACTATCCGTTTCCAATCCTTTTATTAAACTACTTGACCGTCACTGAAAGCTTTATATTGAGATAGCACTTCCGTTTCCCGTCGAATTACCATCAGTTTCCGTACTTTTATTCACCTTGTATCCGGTCCAGTGGCGACACCTGGCAGAAGCGCGGCCATTTTTGTTTTCCTAAGTTTTGACAGCGCCATATTAACTCATTGGCGTTCTGACTCCCGTCGAAGCAACACGTCCTCAATCTGAGCGATCGTTGTGAGATTTTAAAGGTTTTATTATTATTAAGTGATAAAACTGTAAGTAAAACTATTTTATTTTAACGGTTTTTGCCGTTCGTGTTATTCCAAATAGGTACTTTACGTGTTAAAAGTGAAGGAACCGTAAGTAAAACTATTATTCCTTTTGATAGTTTTTGCAGCCCTTGTGATAAGGGATATTTAAAACAAATATGTTAAAATGTGCAATACGCTTGTTTGAAAAAGTAATAATAAGCCGTGAGTAAAACTTGACGGCAATTCAAGGTGCGTTTTGTTTAAAAAATTAAAGTACCTACATTAAAGTAAATTTTGCAATACTTTACGTCTGTCTTGGTCGTTTATCATAAAAACTATTTTAAGAGTGTTTTCTCTTGGTACTCAATTAATGTTTCCGTATAAGTAAATGTGAAAGTAAAATTGGTAAATGTATTACAAAATACTTAATTAAATTGTTTTACAGTTTAGAGTGAATGAATATCGGTCAATATTGACGTTTCAGCCGCCGACTGACTGGCATTATTGGCAAAAACAGCAAGATGTGTCATTATTGTTCTTCGAACAGCTGCAGTAATAATTGGTAGAATTTGTCGTCTTCTGGTATAACGAAAGCGGCATCGCTGCCTCAAGAAAAATAAGCGATCTTGATATTCCAGCCCTTTTATTAAAAGATTGTTCGAGGGGTAAGTGAACTATGTACAATCTTAATAAGGTATTTCTAATGTCGATATGCCGTTTTCTGAACATGGCCAGCTATCAATATCTAAAGGCTTATGAATAAAAAGTTCTAACATTTTTACTGACCAATACACGTAATAAAAATTCTCATATGAGTCGTGTGACTAAACTAGGATAAAGGAACGCTCTGTTCGAAAGACATTCAACGTTTATTTTAAATGATATGCTGATGTAAATTAAAAATTATAATCATAGTCCAGGCTTTATCAACCTGGAAACAAACAACGAGGTAAAGAAGTATGATGATAATTTATGATATATCACGTTCCTGACATTAATTTTCTTTCAGCAATTGCATATTTCTAAAATAAAAATGAATCATTGCAGGAAGGCACCTGCTCAGTTAATTTTAATAACGAAAGTGATAAGATAACAGAATCGTTTCTTAGGTCTTTTACAGCTAGCACAAAGCTAAAAAGTAAAAACTAAAGCACTGCTTAAGAAGTTAGTGATCTCTGTGATGAAGCACCACTTAATAAGATACCATCTATGAGGTTGTTTTTCTCGTATTAAGTAAATATTTGTCATGGATTTAAGGGATTGACATTTCATCAACCTAATGAGCAACTCGCGCAGAGGCAAGTGATATTCATAAGCTTCATCTCATGAAGCCCAAGGCGTGTCAGGACATGCCCTCCCATGGCGTACCTACACATATGAGTACCGGTGGCAAATCACCCTCGCGGGGTGCATATTACATATAATTTGTTTCCACTACGTGGAATCTTATTAAATGCCTCTAATGCCTTGCCTACATATACGAGTACCGGTGGCAAATCACCCTCGCGGGGTGAATATTATGTACAATTAGTTTCCACTACGTGGAACCTTATGAAATGCCTCTAATGCCTTGCCTACATATACGAGTACCGGTAGCAAATCACCCTCGCGGGGTGCATATTATATACAATTTGTTTCCACTACGTGAAACCTTATGAAATACCTCTAATGCCTTGCTTACATATACGAACCAAAACTCTGATGACCGCCCCTCGCGGGGGCATATTATGTATAATTTGCTTCCTCCGTATGGAACTCATTATGAATAAGGACTTGCCTTCCATGGCTTGCCTACACATACAAGTATCAGTAACAAAACATCGTTGATAGAGAAATATCCTCATCAATCTTATAATCGCCCTTGTGGGGTCATATCACACATAATATATTATTTCCATTACGTGAATATCAATATATGTTCTCCTTAGAACATGTTAGCTTATGGAGTTCGTACTATTATGGAAGCACCGGTAACATACGACACTCAAGTGGAGCAAATTATGCATAATTTAACATGTAGTCTATTCGTGATTCATAATTTATTTTTGTGACCATGGGGTCTGTAAAAGTGTAAACGATTCGAAACATTAAAAATAAGTAAATTGAAAATATAATAAATGTCGCTTGACATAATTCATTACTTCCATCGCGTGGAAATCCATACATCAACGCAACGCAACATTCCCGCTCATGGCTTGCGTACACACATAAGTATCGGCTATAAACTACCCTCTTAATAGACTATAAAGATCGAACATCGAATGTTGACGTACCCCGTTGGGAAGTGCAATGTACGTGGTTTTTAAGGTGTCGCATACTCTGAGGTCTTGGGTTCACCCCGGTGGGGCAAATCATTGTATGATAAAAACGAGTATCTGTGCCTAAGTTTTGGTTGTTAACAAATATGAATTCAAAATCATACTAATCTATGCATCATCATTATGCATTTCTAGGCGTTAGCCCATAACACAAGCCTTTCAATGCCCATTATAAGGCTAGGCTAATTGGTGTGAAGTGTTGACTCGATCACTACGGTTGTTCTACCGTAATATATAATACATTTCAAAAGAAAAAGGAATATCGAAACAATTAATGTTTGAAAAAATTTAGTGCAGGTAAGTTGATAAATTGGGAGCTCCATAAATAATTCTTAAATAAATTTAATGGTATCGCATGCCATTCAGAAGCTTGTTTATCTAAATCCAATATATATCAAACTCCAATCTCAAGTGCAGTACACTATAAATATGTAAAGAATTCTAAGTTTTCTGCAATTTAAGGACTATCTGCCAGATAAATAGATGATAACATATTTTCTCTTGAAAATAACAAAAGTAAACCAAATGGGTTGCTCACTCTTTTGATCGCGTAATGAGAGAAACTTGCAATATTAGAAATGTCGTGTATGTGGTGTCTGAGGTGGCCAACATGATCATTTTGATATATAAGTGGTGCTATGTACTGAAGAAAGATTGCACGATCTACCTAATTCTTGAAAGGTTTTGAAGATCATTGTATGCAATTATCCACTTTATGTTATTTTAGTAAAAATTACTGAAAACTGTTCTTAATATTAAACTTACGCTTTCTAACCTTGCCACGACTGTCTGGAATAAATATACTTCAAACCCTACGCATAGTACATGCACACCTCATGTAAGCTGTGTAAATCTTATAAATAACTAAATCTTTATTTAGTATTAAGTAACACATATAAATGACTGAGATCTAAGAACTGAAAAACAAAAGGAAAAATTACAATCAATTATAGATTCCAGGATGGCAAATGAATTTCATAAAATCTGGTCTGAACTTCGTAATAGCATAATTTATCACGGCAACCCAGCAACAATATAAAAACTATACCTGAGAATTTCGTTGTAAAAACGTAAACTTCAGAAGTTGATCGGTTTCAACATTTTTGTCATTCCGTGGGGTTGTATCAACCACTCCCTACTTCTAACAATAATTATGAATTCACTGCAATCGACCTTGCAATCACTTCCCGCCAATCTAATATGAAAGCTTGGGAAGTATAGTTGAAGAACACGGCTCTACCACTTAACTTCAATCTTCACTCCAATCAAATAGATATGCTAGCACTACGCTTTTCAACATATTCTACAAAGAGCGACAGCTCTGTCTTAAACAGCTATGAGATGGCTCGGAAACGCTGGCTTGCGTGGTTACATTGGTCTAGGAACAAGAATGTTTATCGGAATAATCCCGCAAGTTGTGGACTCGGCTCTGAACTAACACGATTTTTGAGAGACTTATTTTTAACAGTAGTTTTTACATGATTTACCAATGGATGATAAGTCTAATTACCTAAGCTCACCTGTCTTGGCAAACACATATATATTGAAGTCGATTGTTTTTAAAGAATCAGTCCGTAACCTACTATTCTGTGTCTATAAGTTAACTTATTTCCTTTTCTTCAATAATGTACTCGTTACATCATAATGATCTGTTTCAAATACTTCGTCATATATGTTGTTCTGAACGTCATACAGTAATTATGCTGCGTATTATTTGGTTCATTGTATTTGTTTCATTGCTGCATTGTATTTGTACCGACGAAGATTAGTTTAGCCTTGTTTTGGTTCAAAACAGGTGAAAGTAGTTAAAGACAATCCGATTGGTGACTTGTACCGAATAATGGTAATCGTAAGTGGGACCCTGATTTTTGGTACTTAAGTAAAAAGTACAATCTTGTAAAATGTAAGACTCGGTATCGAACAACTTTACATCTTTTTCTCTCGTTCGTACGCCTTATTTGTGATATACAAAGATACAAATGAATGCTACACAAGGAAGCGTCCGGTCATTAACAAAACAAATATATGTAGAAGTATATATATATATATACTTCGCGAGTTTTAAGCAAAGGAATATAGCGATCAGCTAATACATATGTTAAAGCAGCTTCGTAAACTTGAAGAAATTAAAGGCGTGATTCAAATAATATTATTTGATCCATTTTTAAGCTTACTCGTTTCTTTATACAGTTTCATATAATCTGATAAATGTTAATATTTAAATTTATCATAAATTGTCACATTGGCGTATATATCTATGTACGTGGCGATCACCAGGCGATAACAAACAGGTCTCAATATAAAGCTTTCAGTGACGGTCAAGTAGTTTAATAGCAGCATTTTACCTGAAATAAAATGCATATTAAAATACTTACCTCACTGAAAGCTTTCACTTTAAATTCTGCCTGGTGAAATAATTGAGCCAATGAGTTAATATGGCGCTGTCAAAACTTAGGAAAACAAAAATGGCCGCGCTTCTGCCAGGTGTCGCCACTGGACCGGATACAAGGTGAATAAAAGTACGGAAACTGATGGTAATTCGACGGGAAACGGAAGTGCTATCTCAATATAAAGCTTTCAGTGAGGTAAGTATTTTAATATGCATTTTATTTCAGGTAAAATGCTGCTATTATCTTATTGTAATTAATTATCTGCATGCAATTAAAAACTATTTTTTAATAATTCCAAAAAGAAGTATAACTTCTCACGCGCGTACTTAAGTACACGCACCCATATTTTTTTTGTCAATTATACAATATGTGCTTCAATAACAAAAATATGAATAAATTTAATACAACATAGGCATTCTGTAAGATGCAATCTCACTTACGATCTCATTTATTGGGATTTTTCACAAATGTCAAGAAAAAAATAGAAAGTAAATTTTCTTCGGTCGGTTTTTATGCAGTAATAAATGTTTCTTTCGTCTTTGTGTGAAATGATTGGTGTCAGTTAAAGATACCCCTAGTTAGATATTTATTAAAAGCATTCGTGGGAAGTCTAACCGAATGAAGTTTCTATATTTTATTGCTCCTGTAGGGCGACTCTGTAAAAAAATCGCACGACTGTCAATAAACAAATAAATCATTGCATCTATACCGTTGAAAATCTTTATATATATAATTCTTTTGTGAGTGTGTATGTCACTGAACTTCTCTTAAACGACTGGACCGATTTTGATGAATTTTTTTGTGTGTGTTCAAGGGGATCTGAGAATGGTTTAGATTCACAATTTTGTCCGGTGGACAATGTTTTTTTAATTAATTTTTTTTATGGCGGTACGAAGTTCGCTGGGTCAGCTAGTTGCTTTATAAAATGAGTGATGACCATCCTTTGGTCTAAAAATTACGTCGTGAAGTGAAGTGACATTAGTTTTTTCTCAAATTCGTTTTCTCTTGCCGGGAAGGCAAAGAGAACAACGTCCATACAGCCTACTGCTTGATAAAGGCAGAAACATAATAACGAAAAGTGCACAGATTAACGAAAATGGGCGCGAGATAAAAACGACCAGAGAGACAACCTAAAAAAATCTTCTATCTCGCTCTTCGAGCGAAGGAGATTCATGTAACGTTTTTAACACGTTACACGTTAAACAAAAATAAAAATTGAGGAGCTGGAGCTTACCAAACGGTAAACGGTATAATTACATAAAATTATTTTTTTACAGGAGCTGTATAAAACTGAATGACATATCTGCAGATTTTATTTTATAAATTTGGTAATTTTAACACTGTTTTAGGCGGTTTTGATTGAAAATTATTTGAGATTCAAATTCAACGGGCCCGAAAGCTCCAGACTTTAAAAAGAAAGTAGTTTGTCCAGACGCGTAATTATGCCGTTTTGTTCGCCAGCTTCTCAAGTTTTACCAACCTTCAAGCTATCCGACACGGAGACAGTCAATATCTGCGGGTGCGGCGCATCGTCCGACCTGGGATGGGTGACCGCTGCCGACGTGATCACATGCCTCTTGTACGGCGAATGTTTTATGCTGGCCTTCTGCTGAGGTAGTGCGGCGGTCTCTTTGACTTCCTCCGGCGGTTTCGCTTCGCTTCGCTTCCTCTCCAGTTTGACGTGGACCGTTGGGGGCGTTGCTTGTGGCACTTCGTTGACCTCCTCCACTATTATCTTGGAAGTAGGCACTGGTGTTTCCACCACCTGTTAATATTTCAAATAATATTTAATATTTCCACCACTCACACCAATTAGCCTAGCCCCAAAGTAAGCACTGTAAGGCTTGTGTTATGGGATGCTAAGGTAACGGATAGAATACATATACTGTACATATATAAGTATATTTATATAGAAATACATATTAAACATCCATGACTGGAGTACAAATGCTCGTATTCATCACACAAACATCTGCCCCCACCGGGATTCGAACCCGGGACCTCCCGAGTCGGCGACACCATGAAACCCGGCGTACAAACCACTCGGCCACGGAGGTCGTCGTTAAAAGGCATATTTTTATTTATTTATAACTACTTTATGAAAATAATAAAAATAAATACATATTTCCAACACTCACACCAATAGGGTATTTGACAAGTTTTAGAATACGATCTCACGTTATTTACTAATATTTATGGAGTCCGTAAAAAGTGGATATTCATCATTCTGTTGCGTATTTCTGTAAAAATAACCAAATCAAAAACTCCATTTTCAAGTTGCCGCGAAAACGTTTCTCTGGACAATATGGCGTCTTACTAGCGTGTGACGTCACACGACTGTTATTAAAACGTCAAACGATACAATGTAATGTCACTTTAACCGGAAGTTTACTTGCGTGTGACGTCATTTTAGGCTCCGCCAATCCCAAGCGTTTTGAGTCACGTGACAATAGATAAGAAAACTATTACCTTTTTCGTGGGTTTTTAGTAAAATTATGAATATTTTTTTGTAAAAATAGTCAAAACCCCTGCCAATATTCATTCTATACACAGATGCTAACAATTGGCACTTTATTTTTAATACTATCAAATACCCTATTAGCCTAGCCCCAAAGAAAGCACTGTAAGGCTTGTGTTATGGGATACTAGGGTAACGGATAGAATACATATACTGTACATATATAAGTATATTTATATAGAAATACATATTAAACATCCATGACTGGAGTACAAATGATCGTATTCATCACGCAAAATATTTGCCTGCACCGGGATTCGAACCCTTATTACTACCCTCTCCCTATTCCATCCATAGGGAAGGCCTGTGCCCCAGCAGTGAGGACATTAAGAGGCTGATGATGATTACTACCCTACCCTACCCTATTGGTATACTAAAAACTAATTTCGCGTTGCAGTAGATTTTTTTGATATTCCAAGACAGGAATATTGACGACCTCCGTGGCCGAGTGGTTTGTACGCCGGGTTTAATGGTGTCGCCGACTCGAGAGGTCCCTGGTTCGAATCCCGGTGGGGGCAGATGTTTGTGTGATGAACTTATATATGTACTGCATATGTATTCTATCCGTTACCCTAGTATCCCATAACACAAGCCTGACAGTGCTTAGCTTGGGGCTAGGCTAATTGGTGTGAGTGTTGGAAATATTTATTTACTTATTTTTATTATTTAATATATTTTCGCCGTTTATCTTCTTATGCGTCCATTCAGATAATGAACTGTATGTGCCTAATTTCATCTGAATCCATTAAGCGGTTTTTGATGAATCAGTTACAAACATTCAAACTTTCGAAGATCGGAGGAGCTCGATGGCGCAGGTGATTAGCGCTTTCCGCTGCGATCGTTGAAGTTAAGCAACTATCGCAATGGTCGGTCATTGGATGGGTGACCAAAAATCTTCTATCTCGAGTTCCTCCGCGCTTCGGAAGGCACGTTAAGCCGTTGGTCCCGGCTGCATCTGCAGTCGTTACACTGGGCCCGCGAAATGGATCACGGCCCAATCTCCCTATTCCATCCATAGATAGGGAAGGCCATACCCCAAGTAGTAACTTAAACAAATAAAGGCAATAAAAATCGCTTCTAACCTTGATTTTGGGCGCGGCCGCGGCCTTAACAGAAGCGGGCCGGGGCGTCGGCGTAATCTTAGCCGTTATTTCGGGCGTTTTAATCTCTTCAACATTCACCGGTATTGGCTTAGCCAGATCCACGTACAATTTGACCGGCCGCGGCTGCAATACTTTGACTACGCTACTGCCGCAGTTGTAACTGTTAAACGCCGAATTCCGAGCCCCAGCTTTACGCTTGCCAGGACAAGCGCGCCCTTCTACGCCCTGGCTTTGCGATAAAAAACTATCTAGGAAATCTTCTCCTTTCACCACCACTTCCTTTGTCAAATCCACATCGGCCAAAGCTTTCAGATCGGCCTCGGATAGAATGCTCTCCACCTGGTCTTCGGTTAAACCGGTGAAGTTGTTCAAATCGTCACCGCTGCCGTCTAAGCTGATGTCTTTGTTGTCTTTAATGTCTTTTTCTTCAGGGTTTATGTCACCGTATAGGTCTGCTAAAGTGAACTCGCTGGTGGTGAAGGTTTCCAGGCCGGAGGTTGGCAGTTCGGTTCTGAGTTCAACGGTGATGGGTTCGTTGGGTGTTAACGGTGTTTGTTCAGTGGGATCGTATTCCGGTGACGGTGGGGCGGGCGGTGGCGTTTTCGGTCGGAAATGTAACCTGCAATAGTTTGTATGGTGAAAATTTTACTAGAAAAAAAAACCACTTTATCGAGCTGTTGGATTGGATGGAAAGTATGTTTTTCGTAGTCAAAATATCTCTTATGAATTATTCACCGCTCGCAGCGATTTGGCTAAATCTCAATATAACTAAAACTAGATTTAGCCCATAAACAATAACATCATATTAAAATTATTGACGTTTTGAATTTTTTCTATGGACAAGATGAAGTTTTAGTTTTTTTGTTTTTTTTCTAACAATACAACGGTGTCGATTCTGGCATGGTTCTCTAAACCTAAACTTAAATTTGACAGCACTGTATCCTTGTCATTGTTGATGACTGATGTTAAATTCAGTTTTAAGTTTGGAGAATCATACCAGAATTGACCTCAATATCAATATATTTTTATATTTAAAAACACAGTGCAAACCACTAGAGTCTGTGCGGAAAGAGAATGGGCGTGGCGAAAAACGGAACTAACATTAAGATTTTTATTTGGCAATCAAACCCAGCAATCTGTAAAACGTCAATGTTTTGTATTGATACGGATTTGTTTGTTGTTGTGATTTCTTGCGGTTTTTTGTATTTAATCATGTCTAAAAGGGGTAAAACCTTACAAATACAGTAGAAAAGCACTGCAGAGCCCTCCAATCTAAACACCATTCTCTTTCCGCACAGATTCTACCCCCTTTTTATAAAACTAAGAATAAGCTTGGATTAATTATTCCATGTTTTGTTTCAGTTCACTGAAGCCATTTGCGTGATATAAAAGAAAAATAACAGCATAACTAGTCTAAGGTCATTCCTTGTTTATGAATAAGAGGGTAAAGTTTAAATGGTGTGTCGTAGTTGGCCACATATCACAATTCAATTCTCTCTCATTTACCCATCATTGTCACATATTAACATATTTAAACACTTCAAGTTCACAGTTTACATTTTATTCACTAAGCAAATTTCTAAAGTCTGGGGCCCAATTCTCGCGGCGTAGATATTATATCACCTTCGATATATATCGAATGAACTGGCTTTTATTGAAGGAAAACCATTTTGCCATATTCTCACCATGTCGCAATAGATATTTATGTACGGATGATCAGTAGACATACATCGACTGGTAAAGAGCCTTCGATATATATATAAATATCAATGAATCTTGGAGAATCTTAAAAAAATATTGACGTTTCATTATACTTAACGTTGAAACAATTTAGGTAAAGTTGAGATTTCTTATACTCAAAAACTATACAGGTATACTCATATTTAATATGAAGGGCATTCATAAAATATCATTTTTTTCTTGTAAAATACTGCTGTAATTTATTATTATTTTATAAAAACTATGATGTTAACTCAATCGAGAAAAACGGAACGCATTCGTCAGTGAACCAATGTCTACGATTGATATAATATTATTGGAATATCGAAAATCTACGAGAATAGCATTTTTCGCTATCAGTAGTTATTTTCAATAGACATCCCTACTTTCGATATTATCTCGAAGCCGATATAATATCTACACCGCGAGAATTGGGGCCCGGGTCCATTTTGCTAATGTGACGAGATAACTGTGCATATGTTGTAGTTGAATTGTGATTTAGCAAATTTGCAGCAAGTGGCCATTAATCATTCCATCTTTGTTGACATTTTTTTTTGTCTTTATTTATTTAGAGGCTCATCATACCCTAACCAAAATATATACAAAACTGTTTCATTTACAACTCTAGTTGGCACCATTTTATACAAACTTAATTCACACTAGGGATGACGACCAATTTTTTTTTCTTCGTTTATCAGGTAGATTGTAACGTCACTTTTGAGTGAATTTTCAGTAATAAGTGTACTCAAACGTGACGTCACGAGCCCCTACTCCCAAACTTTGACGCGCTATAACTTTGTCATTTTTTGGTTGATTGCCCAAAGAAAAAATACGTGTCCATTATTTTTTGATCATCTAACTGAGGGAGTAAATAGAATTTCGTTTACTGTACCCCGTCATCATCCCTTTTCTTGGTGCAGCCATAAAGTTAAAAAACTAAATCATAGCATAATGTGAGGGTATTATTATAGTAACACTCCAGTATTGCAAACATTGGAATTTATAACTGCTGTACCAGCTATCTTCGCATTTGGACTTTATCATCACTTGGCATCAGATGGGGTAGAGTCATTTGCCCACCTGACTTTAAATAAAAAATCTATAGGTTATTGCCAAGAAATCAATATATCTTTATGATTTTATTTATTTTTTAAGCATTTAACTGCTAGATGTTTAAATCTAAAGAAAAGTTTACTAGAAAAAAATACAATATAACTTTTGAATTGTCCAAAACTTTTTTTTTCCCTACCATATTTTTTAGCTGTGGAAAAAAACTAGGAAAAAAACACCAAAACATTAATAGTATAATGTAACAACGTTTAAAAATCATTATGTTGTTACAACATCAATACAATCATGATTTATTTAATATAGAAAACCTGTTGGAATGATTGGAACACGTGCTTTTTTTAACCTATCATTGAATTTATTTATGGTTAACTCTTGGACATAGCTTGGGACTTTATTGTATAAGCAAACAAAAAGACCTTTAATTGAATTATTGATTTTGTGAAGCCTAGTAGCAGGTAGAGCAGGCATAGTATCAGGTTGTCATCACTAACGATCCCATCATTATTACGAAACTAAACCCCTGTCATCAGAATATTAAAATAACTCACCACTTCTCATTAACCTCGTTGATAAACTTCTCAAACTCTCTCTCGACAGGTTGTAAACTATCATCGGATTCATAGCTGGCATCGCTACAACCGCTCCACGACCGTTTCCTCATCACCCTCCGAAGATTGTCCCTAACGTTACAGTCTATAGTCCGAGCTTTATCACTATCACTAACACCACAAACACTTTTAACACTGCAGTCCGTAAACTTATCGTCACTCGCAAACTTTCTATCCATTGAATGTCTACACTCATCACTGTTATTACACTTAAACTCTGTCGATTTGCATTCCGTGTCTAATATTTTTGTATCCGTTGATATTCTGCAGTCTTCGTTGTATTTTAGATGTTTGAGGTCTTCTGAATTGATGAATTCCGGTTCAGTTTTGATGTCAATGTCCATTTTGACGGGTTTAATGTCCGGTTCCGTCCACAGGTGAGGATTTTTGGCTAAATGTTGTCTGAACGAATGCCTCCATGGATATTTACCACCTGTGTGGTAATCGTGTGTTATCTCTTTGGGTGTCCGGTGTGCTTTGCTTTCAATGTCGTCCTGTGGAAACGAAATGATAAATATTTATATTACAATACACAGTTTAATAATAATGCAAGGCAGAAGTTAAAAAGTTATTATATACTTTGCTCCTAAATTCAAATCGAGACATGAATGAGACTCTTGAGGAGCTCGATGCGATCGTTGAAGTTAAGCAACTTTCGCAATAGTTGGTTATTGAATGGGTGATCAAAAATTTACTATCTCTCACTCTTCAGTGCTTCGGAAGGCACGTTAAGCCGTTTGTCCCGGCTGCATCTACAGTCGTTACCACCCACAGATCCGCACTGGGCCCGAGTGGTGGGTCATGGCCCAGTCTCTCTCAATGGACATTAATAGTTTGATGATGTTGATGACATATAAAAAAACTATTTATTTATACATCTATACTGTCTTTCGTACGTCTGTAATATCTTCACGCTTAAACGGCTGAGCCGATGTAGATGAAATTTGGTATACTGATGAAAAATAAAAACAAAAAATTTTGCCCAAAAAAAAAATTTTAAGGGTGGTATGTTGTCCGATTCTCAGACCTGCTAAATATGCATATAAAATTTCACGAAAATCGGTCGAGCCGTTTCGGAGTAGTTCAATTACGCACACCGCGACACGAGAATCTCTTATCTATTAGACAAGTCCGTGCGTCCGTCCGTGGTGCTGTTTCAGCGGCCAAACCGTAAGAGATAGATATAGAGAATGTTTAAGTTATAAGTTAAGAATAGTCTGATAAGACTACAAACCGGATTTGAGTAACGCAGCACTTCCGGTTTTCGAGAAATCACGTGATTTCTATTTCAAACGAAACCGCACAAAATCTCCGAAGTTCTCAATTAATTACATTTTTTTTTTGGTGAACATTTGGTTCACTGGTTTGCTAGTTTTATATATTAGAGATACGTTATATAGATTTACCTGTAATTCTGTTCTCGTACGGTACGGTAGCGTGGGCCATAGATCTTGTAGTGGGGTCCGTATTCGATCTAAGGCAACCCTGCCTCCGCGACAAAGTCTTCTTCGAGCAAATCCTATACAACGGGGGTATGGCTCCCGTATCGAGGTTAGTGTGAACCTGGAGATATAAAATATAATTAATTAATTTATGTTGATCATTAGATTATTGAACATGTTGTTTTATTACGACCTCCGTGACTGAGTGGTTTGTACGCCGGATTTCATGGTGTCGCCGACTCGAGAGCTCCCGGGTTCGAATCCCGGTGGGGGCAGATGTTTGTGTGATGAACACCAGCATTTGTACTCGGTCCTGGATGTTTAATATGTATTTCTATATAAATATATACTTATATATGTACTATTTGTTTCTTAGGTTTTCACGCACATCACTCATTAAATAAAACTAGTTTAAACGGGATAATGCACGAAACTTTATTTATTTATTGACGTTTCGTAGCCTTTCCAGGCTTCGTCGACTCTGACGACGAAGCCTGGAAAGGCTACGAAACGTCAATAAATAAATAAAGTTTCGTGCATTATCCCGTTTAAACTAGTTTTATTTATATATGTACTGTATATGTATTCTATCCGTTACCCTAGTATCCCATAACACAAACCTTACAGTGCTTACTTTGGGGCTAGGCTAATTGGTGTGAGTGTTGGAAATATTTATTTATTTATTTGGGTCCAGGAGTAATAATTTCTGTGATATTTTTTTTTTATAATTTTTAAGCATCTAACTGCTAGGTGTTTAAATCTAAAGAAAATTTGACGATTTCGATAAGGGCCACGGTAGCATAATAGGGTATTTGACAGTATTAAAAATAAAGTGCCAATTGTTAGCATCTGTGTTTAGAATGAATATTGGCAGGGGCTTTTACTATTTATACGGAAAAAATATTCATAATTTTACTAAAAACCCACGATAAAGATAATAGTTTTCTTGTCTTTTGTCACGTGATCCAAAACGCTTGGGATTGGTGGCGCCTAAAATGACGTCACACGCAAGTAACCTTCCGGTTAAAGTGACATTAGATTGAATGGTTTGACGTTTTAATGACAGTCGTGTGACGTCACACACCAGTGAGACGCCATATTGTCCAGAGATATGTCTTTCGCGGCAACTTGAAAATAGAGTTTTTGATTTAGTTTTTATGGACTCTATAAATATTAGTAAATAACGTGAGATCGTATTCTAAAACTTGTCAAATACCCTATTGGTGTGAGTGTTGGAAATATTTATTTTTTTATTATTTATTATATTGTTGAACTTGTAATTTCATTTGGGTCCCGGAATAATAATTTGCGAGATAAAATACTATAAATAATATGTTTTTATTTTATTTTTAAGCATCTATTTGACTAGAAAAAAATCCACGCGGATCAGGCAGCCTTGCAACCTAAGAAATACTGGAGAAAAATCGACAAGGCGATTAGGGCCACGGTAGCATAATGGTCAGTGCATCCACCTGAAGGAAATTTGACTAGAAAAAAATCCACGTGAATCAGGCAGCCTTGCAGCCTAATAAATACTGGAGAAAAATCGACAAGGCGATTAGGGCCACGGTAGCATAATGGTCAGTGCATCCACCTGAAGGAAATTTGACTAGAAAAAAATCCACGTGAATCAGGCAGCCTTGCAGCCTAATAAATACTGGAGAAAAATCGACAAGGCGATTAGGGCCACGGTAGCATAATGGTCAGTGCATCCACCTGGATATCGGACGGTGCGGGTTCGAGCCCCTTCTGCTGCCTGGACCTGAAATTATCCGGGTTTTCTCAAAAAAAGCCTTGGATTTTTGCGAAAATTCATCATGCGACGGGGGGATAGTCGCGTGATGACCCGCCAATCAGAAGGCTTACTTTTTAAGGGACGCGCGGGGGACGCGCATTAGACGGAGCGCTGTGATTGGTCGACGACCGAGGCCAAATTATTTTATAAGACGAAACATTTGTAAAGCAAATGGTGGTCTGCCAGGAACAATCATCGTGTGAACAACTAGCCAGAAGAATAAAGAAAGTAGTGAAGCAACAATCAGCGTTTTGAAACCGGAAACCTACGTACAGTCCACACCAGAGATCCGAGGACTGAAGACTTTCATCAGTTTCATCAACGACATCTTGGCCCTTCGAGCTGGATCCATTTTCAAAAACCAACAGCTGGTCCCTCGAGCTGGTCCACTTCGAAAACCAACAACTGGCCCTTCGAGCCGGTTCCGTTTTCAAAAACCAACAACTGGCCCTTCGAGCCGGTTCCGTTTTCAAAAACCAACAACTGGCCCTTCGAGCCGGTTCCGTTTTCAAAAACCAACAACTGACCCTTCGAGCCGGATCCGTTTGCGAAAACCAACAACTGGCCCTTCGAGCCGGTTCCATTTCGAAAACCAACAGCTGGCCCATCGAGCCGCATCAATTTTCATAAAACAACAGCTGGTCCTTCGAGCCGCATCCATTTTCATAAAACAACAGCTGGTCCTTCGAGCCGCATCCATTTTCGAAAACTAACAACTGGCCCTTCGAGCCGGTTCTAATTTTGAAAACCAATAGCTGGTCCCTCGAGCTGGGTCCATTTTCGAAAACCAACACGTCCAAACTAGATAACAAAAAAATAACTCACCTATGCCTCTCGTCGAGTTCATGTTGGTAGAGGGCTCCACCGGAAGCCTTCTCATCCTCCAGGGGGTCTCCGCACAGAGTCGACGTGGGCTGAAACAAAACCATAACAAACTTCATCATCAGCCTATTAATGTCCCCACTGCTGGGGCACAGGCCTCCCCTATGGATGGAATAGGGAGATTAAACCCATGACCCACCACGCGGGCCCAGTGCGGATTGGCGGGTGCTAACGACTGCAGATGCAGCCGGGACCAACGGCTTAACGTGCCTTCCGAAGCACGGAGGAGCGAGAGATAGTAAATTTTTGGTCACCCATCCAATGACCGACCACTGCGAAAGTTGCTCAACTTCAACGATCGCAGCCGAACGCGCTAACCACTGGCGCCATCGAGAGAACAAACTTATTTTATTATATTTCATATTTTAAGCATTTAACTGCTACTACTAGATCTTTGAATCTAAACAAAATTTTACTAGGTAACATTCCACGCGGACCAGGCAGCAGACGGGACTCGAACCCGCACTCTTCGCAATCCGGGCGAATGCACTGACCGATTATGCTACCGCAACCCTCACGGACTGCGTCGAAATTCCTCTAGCCATTCTTAAGCTGCAAGGCAGCGCCATCTCTTTGCATTATAGGTAACCCACAATGTCATTGGTTAATGCATTCGCCCGGATTGCGAAGAGTGCGGGTTCGAGTCCCGTCTGCTGCCTGGTCCGCGTGGAATTTTTTCTAGTTATATTTTCTTTAGATTTAAACATCAAGCAGTTACATGCTTTAAAAAAATAAAAATTACACTTTGCGTTTGTTTGTGTGGTGTATGTGCTTACCATTTCGTAATAGCAACCAGGTTTCCGTCTGAACGCGAAAGGTCCGTCGTCAGCCATCTCCTCTTCCGACGAAGACGCCACGCCACCGATTTCTGTAAGCATATGGCGTAAGACTATTTTTTTTTTTTTTGTTTAAATAAATAGTTCCCACACGCACCAATGAGGGTTTTTTGGAATGACAGGCACCAGGTGGCAGTACTGAGACGAAAGGTCTAATCATCCGTCAAATCGCATATGATCTCATAGTCTATGAATCTGGTCTATGGAGTTGGCGCTAAAAACTTCATACAAAAGACTTCACGTAACAGTGGCGCCAGCTGGTGACGTAAATTTTCATAAACACCCTCATTAGCCTAGCCACAAAGTGAGCACTATAAGGCTTGTGTTATGGGATACTAGGGTAACGGATAGAATACATATATAAGTATATTTTATCTAGAAATATATATATAAACATCAATGATTAAGGTGCAAATGCTCTATTCATCATACTAACATTTGCCCCCGTCGGGATTCGAAACCGGGATCTCTCGAGTGGGCGACACGAAATAACATAAATGAAAAACCGTGATTTTTGAGAATATACGCTATATTTAAAGAATATATGTAATATTTTAAGAATATACGCAATATCCTTCCCCCACAGGACAGGCTAAGCTAGAAATCTGTAAAATTGTTGTGAAATTTGGAAATAAATCATCATTATTAATATTATTATTTAAAGAATATACAGTCAAAACCAAATATAACGACGTGTCGGTTATAACGACGAATTGGTAAGGTCCCGGCCGAAACCCTATAAAAACCTTTAAGTAAACAAACCGCCTATAACAACACCGGATATAGCGAAATACAGCTTAAAACGACTTATAACCAATGAATATTGACAAAATTCATATCGATATTCCTCGGTTATAACGACTTCCCATTTTAGTTGTTCCAGCAAAATAAAATATACTGTAGGTACTTAATTTTTTTCATAGTAAACTTATTAGTTCTATTTTCAATATTTTATATGGAAACAAGCTTATATTCATTATCTATAACTATACTACATACTACATTATGACAATAATATGACTACTTTTGTATATTGCTTATAACAACTATCGGACATAGCGTCCGAAGTTATATGGTCCCTTCAATGTCGTTATATCCGGTTTCGACTGTACACAATATTGTTATATTGAGTGTACATGCAGCGTGTTTGAATGTCAAATTGTGACTAAAGCGTATTGTGGTCATGCACCACAATTGGTCGGTACACTTTTGAGCTGCGAGTGTCGTATCTTCCTCATTTTGTTCTATTATTTCTTTTTGTTTTGATCTTCTAAGTATGATAGCAATGAGTACTTTCGCGTATGAATCCGCCGCTAGAGGCGCTTGTGTAGCGCGAGGTCTCCGAAATGTCAAATGTTATTGCTTGTGGGTTGACTACGCGGGTTTATTTCTAATTAAAATAATGAAATAATGTTGTGAATATTTGGTAATAACCATAGAGGTATAAGAATAGAGCGTGGAAGGCGGCTCTACCCCTAGCACGAACCATTATCGAATTCGAATAGTTTTCAAACTGAAATGTCAATGTCAAATTTTGTATGGAAACTTGAACAGCAGCGGTACAAAGTACGTAACGAGAACTAAAAATCAGTACACATTTGACAATGACATTTCGGACTCGCAAACGATACGAATTCGATATTGGTTCGTGCTAGGGGTACTGATCAGACAAAAAACGGTAGCCTTCATTAGACGTGTATAAAGGCAACAATATGAACTGTATAACGACGCTATCATTACAAAATGTCGTATTTAAAATTTTATAAGTTTAATTTTTAATTACATTCAAAATATTGTAAAAGCTGGAATCTAGTTTGAATCTCTATAAAGGAGACAAAAAAGTGAAGTGAACATTAACTTGTTGAAGTCATCAAAAAAATCATTTTTTGTGTTTCCTGAAATTAGCCTATTTATACTTACGACTTTTAGAAATGACAGCGACGATAACTGTCGTATAATAGCTGTATAAAAGTTTTATAAGTGGAGTCGAATCATATAAGAGCATTTGAACGGCTACTTAAGAGCAACGGAGCCGTATAAGAAGCACATAAGTAATATCTAGCACGGGCATCAGACTCACATAAACATTAATGTAATCAACCATTTCATAATTGTTATCGATGCCAAAATGTTTGTGATGAGAAATAAACTAATATTATCATTAGATAAGAGCATTTGAACGGCTACTTAAGAGCAATGGAGCCGTATAAGAAGCACATAAATAATATCGAGCACGGGCATCAGACTCACACAAACTGTACGAGTACATACCTACTTGATTGTACATTATAATGATTTCAAATTGACCCAGTATACTTTTAAGCATACTCATGAAATTGTATTTTTCTTTGCACAATTAGCTATCGAAATAAATTAGTGTTTTTACAACATTCAAACGGTTCGGTTTTATTTAGCACTCCTTGGAGTAACCTTACCCTTAACAAGCATCAAGTGTGGGAAGCAACCCCCACACAAACATTAATGTAATCAACCATTTAATAATTGTTATCGATGCCAAAATGTTTGTGATGAGAAATAAACGATTATTATTATTATTATATAAGAGCATTTTAACGGCTACTTAAGAGCAATGGAGCCGTATAAGAATCACATAAGTAATATCTAGCACGGTCATCAGACTCACACAAACATTAATGTAATCAACCATTTAATAATTGTTATCGATGCCAAAATGTTTGCGATGAGAAATAAACGATTATTATTACTATTATTGTTATATAAGAGCATTTGAACGGCTACTTAAGAGCAGTGGAGCCGTGTAAGAATCATATAAGAGCATTTGAAAGGTAACATAAGAGCAGTGTAAGGTCGTGACGGGGCACTGACCTGGTAGCGGCGCGACGGTGACGGCGTGACGGTACTTGCGCCGCTTGTAGGGCCTCTTCTCACGCTGCAAACACAACACGCCTTACTAGACTGCCTCACCAATACCCCCTTAGTCTAGTCCTACCCCGAATGTACCTTGGTCTACCTACATTTTACCCTCATCTGCCCTACCCGCCTATTCGCTAACTTTTTTAATATTTACAGTGTGTAAATTGAATGAATTTTCAGTGGAGTATATCATTGATTGTTTATTTATTTATTTTGACATACATTTTTTGACCTAAACCTCAATATCCCGTCATAATTGATTAAATTATTACACGAATATATTTTAAATTATATTTTCTATAAGCTAAATAAATTATCTAATAAAATCATCTCAAATTGTTATCCTATTGCAATTTTATCAAGTTTTAAATTAATTTTCATGTATCTTTTATTTGATTTGCAATGCCCCTGCAAGGCTCATATTTGAGAACTGTTATTAGATTTAAAAACAAAATGTTACCAACATGAAGGTATAAATATTATGACTTAAGCTTTTCAGAACAAATATTTTGTGGACCTCTAAATAGCTCGGCGATTATAACTTCCATCTTTCAAAACCAGTTAGCGAATAGGCCTACTGCTCCGCAAAACGATTGCTCTACCCTTATCCACACTTAATATATACTACATTATCTCTAAACCATGGAGGTTAGAGATTAGGAGAACGATCGCTGTAGAAAATATGGACAAAATAAGTGAGGCGCTGTGATCGCTAAGTTGTCTCAATAAAAGAGGGCTGTGATTGCCTTTTTATCCGTTATTTCTCTTAACGACCCCGCTGCATATAGAGGTTATATTGACAAACCTACGTATTTGACATTGACAGCTAGCTGCTGATGACAAATATTGCCAGACTACGTTACCCGATTATGAAACACAGATAAAAAAATTAAAAAAAGTATACAACTTTGGCACATAATGCCGGGTGTCCTTTCTACATTATTCAACTAACTTCATCTACTTGTACTCATAAACAGCTAACTTCACAGATACTTCTTACCGATAGCAGCGCGGTCAGTGGCTGAAAAAATAACTAGAAAATTCTACAAATTGTCAGGGACAGGCGGGGCTAATTCTCCTTCTCTCTAACCTTCATGCTCTAGACTATCTACCGCTATCTACTCTACGCTACACCACACTTCATTAGACTATGTACCAAGCCATCAGGGGACCAATCGCCTAGCGGAGTTGCTATGGCTTACGATTTCATTAAGTTATTTCTGACCGCCGAAGGTTTTACAAAAAAACCTCAAAATACCTCACGCTCATTTTCTTAAATATTGTTATTACTGATGCATAAGAAAAAAAGAGCTTGGAACATTTGAAGACCTTCGACGGTTAGAAATAAGCTAATAAAATTGCAATCCATAATAATGGAAGAAATTGCTTCTTAGCGATAAGGCCGCCGTTTGTACTATAATGTAATAGTATTAATTAATTGTAATTTACAATCTCATGGTGTACATTAAAGTGATTCATTCATTCATTCAATCCCGTTAGGCGATTGGCCCCCTGGTGGCTTGGTATATAGTCTAATGAAGTGCGGTGTAGCGTAGAGTAGATAGAGGTATAGTTTTAGAGATAATGTAGATTTTTATGTATCAAGTATGATGTTATAATATAGACATACAGTGCAGAATATATTACATACCATATTGCAGTATTTACTTCAAATATTTTAAATAGGCTACCAACCAGTTTGAAAACCATTATTGCGAGGGACTTCGTGTTTACAAAATCTTATCACAATTTTATTGAATTTACGAGACAGGACTTTTTCAGGACGAGAGAAAATTTTACCCAATTCGACTTGTAATTGTTATTCTATTGCTAAATTAATTTCTTATGTCATTTATCTCCGCTTTTTTTGTATATTTCTAACAAAATAATATTGTTTAATGGGCGAAATGAATTGAATTGAACACGTGTTCAATGTATATATAATGCATTCCATACGCACCTGTCTTGTAGGATCGGGCGGCGTCGGGGGTCGATGTGCAGCGTATGCTCTGAAAGTGACGGCCGTTGTACTGCCCGCGTACGATGTTCTACAACGGAAATAGATATAATTAATAAATATAATAATAATAAATACTAATAAATATTTCCGACACTCACACCAATTAGCCTAGCCCCAAAGTAAGCACTGTAAGGCTTGTGTTATGGGATGCTAGGGTAACGGATAGAATACATATACTGTACTTAAATAAGTATATTTATATAGAAATACATATTAAACATCCATGACTGGAGTACAAATGCTCGTATTCATCACACAAACATCTGCCCCCACTGGGATTCGAACCCGAGACCTCTCGAGTCGGCGACAGCCATGAAACCCAGCGTACTAACCACTCGGCCACGGAGGTCGTCAAAATAAGTGCACTATTTATTCTATATCTAACTATTAATTTATTTCACTCTTTTTAGTTTCAGTCATCTGGGGGACCATTCGCCTAACGGAAATGCTTTGGGAAACGCTAACGCTTTTGATTTTAATTTGTTATTTCTGGCCGCCAAAGGTTTTCCTCACGCTCATTTTTTTAATATTGTTATTACCAATGCAAAAGAAAAAAAAAGAGCGCGAGGCATTTGAAAACCTCATGCGGCTAGAAATAACAAAATGAAATCGTAAGCGTTATATACCTCCCTACGCTCTTGAGTGCTATAAAAGCAACTTTTGGATTGTAAACTTTGACTTATGCACAAAAACTGTCGTGGCACTCGTATATAGTTGTTTGATTTTTGTCAAGAATGAAACGGAAAGAACAGAAATCATAAACCAATAATAACATAAATATTTCAATAACTCTTTTCAAATCCTACTAACTCATTTGTACTTGTTATAGCTGTCTAGTGACGCTATTGCATGCTCCATTATCACAATGAGCAATTTTGTTGCTACTAAACGGCTACTGTACCACCTAGCTGTTTAAAGGTATCGAATTATACTACTGTACATCTTAAAGAATTGTACATCACTTGAACGTCTCCTTTACAACTACTAGGATGTAATTAAACAATATAAGCAACTTATGTGCTTATATTTTTAATTTTAAAAGCCTTAAACCGCTAGATGTTTAAATCTAAAGAAAATTTTACTAGAAAATATTCTACGCGAACCAGGCAGCAGGCGGAACTCGAACCCGCACCCTTAGCTTTCCTTGTCGCTTTATGCTTTACCTACAAGAGATGGCGCTTGCGCTAGGATCCGCCCGGATAGCGAAGGGGGCGGGTTCGAATCTCGTCTGCTGCCTGGTCCGCGTGGATTTCTTTCTAGCTAAATATGCTTTACATTTAAACATCTAGCAGTTAAATACTTAAAACATAAATAATTGGTGGTGACCAGACCCGTCTTTCGCAGTGGGCACTTTGGGCAAGTGCCCGGGGCCCCGCGATCGATAGGGGCCCCCCTCAGATCAAATACAAAGTCCCTAGTTCCTGTTAAATCACCAAACGGAAGTCATAGGGGCCCCATTATTCTAATATGCCCAGGGGGTCTACTCCCTTTCTACGAAACGAACTTTCGATAACGAAGTTCAAACGAAATTTAATTTCGCCAATTTAAGATTATACTCAATTTGAACGATAAACTATCAAATTGAAGCTTTCTTTGAGTAGGTTTAGAAAATATACACCTCAATCTATATTCCGACGACGAATATCATTATAATTAAAAATGAATCAGAAACATAATAAGAAAATTGCGAAGTTTCGATGGAAATTTCGTTTTTCGTTGAATTAGAGTAGGGCTCCAGGGCCTCCAATAGGTCAAAGACGGCACTGGTGGTGACAATCTCTCGCTATGATATCTAAACAGGATTGGTAGGGAAATAATGACAATGGAAGCGACTCACTAGGTCGGTTCTGGCAGCAAGTGGTAATACTCTTGAATCAAGCTGAAAACAGTATTAAAAGCCGCATAGATTTTTCGAATGTGAATCCTGTTGGTCGCAGATGACCTTTACAGCGTCACCGAGTTTGGGGACGGCGAGATCCTAAGGGGACCTCAAGCCGAGAATTGGCGAGTGCCTCTGGAGGTATTCCAGGCGGATGGCGTCTCCCCACGGGGGGAGTCTCCTCTCCGTCTGGAGCCTCCAGACCACTCGAATCTGAGTCGGCTCAACTAGAGGGCGTCTCTGAGACTCGGAGCTCGGCTCTAGTTAGCCGTTGTACCTGTACCTGGGGCTAAAATCATCATCATAAGTAGAGAATAAAACTAGTTTTAACGGGTTAATGCGCGAAACTTTATTTATTTATTGACGTTTCGCAGCCTTTTCAGGTCTGCATCGTCAGAATAATGATTTTTTATTTAATTTTGTCGAGCTACCTTCGAAAGACTTTTATTGAGCGTTCGGTTATTTCATTGGAGGATTTTTAAAATTTTATTGTCTATGTATGAATTTATTAGTTAATTTAGTTAATAAAGTACTTTATTTAAAATTTTACGGTAGTTGTTGATAGTTTACGGTAGTTAGGGTCAAATAAATGAACTCAAAATTACAAAAAAGAATTTTAAATAAACTAAACTAACTAATAAATTCATACATAGGCAATAACATTTTAAAAATCTTCCAATGAAATAACCGAACGCTCAATAAAAGTCTTTCGAAGGTAGCTCGAAAAAATTAAATAAAAAATCATTATTCTGATGATGCGGACCTGAAAAGGCTGCGAAACGTCATAAATAAATAAAGTTTCGTGCATTAACCCGTTGTAAAAACTAGTTGTATTGAATGAGTGATGTGCGTGAAAACCTAAGAAACAAATGTAAGTAGAGAAGTTAAGTTTCAAAACTCACCTAGGCGGTTCTGGTAGTAGATGGTGGTGATAGTCTCTCGCGGCGTGCCGTCGCTCGGCCAGGTGTGCGGTGAGCTTTACCAGTTCCCGTTTAGCGTTCTCGCGTCGAGCCACCAGCTCTAGGAGGCTCAACGCCCGCGCTAGGTCGCGGCGTAGTTTCAGCATTTTCTCATAGGAACTTTCGTCGTTTTTCCTGCGTTGAAAACATAAAAGTTTGATCGTCAAATGAAGAGTCAAATAGCGGTGATGACGGGGTACAGTAAACGAAATTCTATTTATCCCGTCAGTTGGATGATCGAAAAATAATGGACACGTATTTTTCTTTGGGCAATCAATCATAAAATGACAAAGTTATAGCGCGTCAAAGTTTGGGAGTAGGGGCTCGTGACGTCACTTTTGAGTGAATTTTCACTTAAAAGTGTATCAAAACGTGACGTCATGCGACTTTTCAAATCAATATATCTCTGAAATGTTTATATTATGTGAAAAAAGCAAAAATACGTGTCTCTATTCCCTCCCTATTCCATCCATAGGGAAGGCCTGTGCCCCAGCAGTGGGGACAATAATAGGCTGATGATGATGTATGATGATTAACAAAAAGTTATTCATTAACAGCGGACGCAAACTAAGAGACTTGAAAAATATGCATTCATAAAAACTATTGCTGACACGTATTCGCAAATACTGTGCGATAAGGAGAACCGTAGTCAACGCTGAAAATTGCGTATAAAAACTTGGAAAATTCGAGGTTTGGCTCTCGAAGAATTCCTCTTCGAAAATTTGATATCTGTAAAAGAAATTTTACCCATAGAACAATAAGTAGTTACACTATGCCTCTATGTTTTGCTTTTTCTGTAAATGCTTATTTAATACAACTACACTAGACGTCTTTAGTGGTAAAAAAATTTGTTAATTTTTGTAATTTTTAAAGGCTTCTAGTTTCTTTGGAGGAGGTCGATGGCGCAGGTGGCTAGCACGTTCGGCTGCGATCGTTGAAGTTAAGCAACTTTCGCAGTGGTCGGTCATTGGATGGGTGACCAAAAATTTACTATCTCGAGCTCTTCCGTGCTTCGGAAGGTACGTTAAGCCGTTGGTCCCGGCTGCATTTGCAGTCGTTAGCACCCACCAATCCGCATTGGGCCCGCGTGGTGGGTCATGGCCCAATCTCCCTATTCCATCCATAGGGAAGGCCTGTGCCCCAGCAGTGGGGACATTAATAGGCTGATGATGATGATGATGAGTTTCTTTGAAACACAAGTTATCAAAAAAAAGAAGACATAGGAGCATAGAATGAGTAAAATTATACTTCATGTATCAAAATCAATAATTTAGTGATAACAATCAAGGTGGAATCAGTCGAAAACGTTTGTATGGAAAAAAAATTGCCCGCCCTCTTAAGAAAGTAAGGAATATTTCCAAATAAACACTAAAAGTTGCGTCATCGAATGAACGACGATACTGTATACCCCTAGCACGAACCAACATCGAATTCGAATAGTTTGCGAGCGCACAATGTCATTTTCCTGGTCTGCATCTCTTCAGGCTCTCCGTCTTCAAATACAATATCAGCTATAAGTCTCCCTCCCTCCCTATATATCTGTCTCCCTCGCTCACCTGTTCTTCCAGGTCTGCATCTCCTCCAGCACTCCATCTTCAAACACAGTATCAGCTATAAGTCTCCCTCCCTCCATATATATCTCTGTCTCCCTCGCTCACCTGTTCTTCCAGGTCTGCATCTCCTCCAGCTCTCCGTCTTCAAACACAGTATCAGCTGTAAGTCTCCCTCCCTCCCTATATATCTCTGTCTCTCTCGCTCACCTGTTCTTCCTGGTCTGCATCTCCTCCGGCTCTCCGTCTTCAAACACAGTATCAGATATAAGTCTCCCTCCCTCCCTATATATCTCTGTCTCCCTCGCTCACCTGTTCTTCCAGGTCTGCATCTCCTCCAGCTCTCCATCTTCAAACACAGTATCAGCTGTAAGTCTCCCTCCCTCCCTATATATCTGTCTCCCTCGCTCACCTGTTCTTCCAGGTCTGCATCTCCTCCAGCTCTCCATCTTCAAACACAGTATCAGCTGTAAGTCTCCCTCCCTCCCTATATATCTGTCTCCCTCGCTCACCTGTTCTTCCAGGTCTGCATCTCCTCCAGCTCTCCATCTTCAAACACAGTATCAGCTGTAAGTCTCCCTCCCTCCCTACATATCTCTGTCTCCCTCGCTCACCTGTTCTTCCTGGTCTGCATCTTCTCCGGCTCTCCAACCTCAAACACAGTATCAGCTGTAAGTCTCCCTCCCTCCCTATATATATATATCTGTCTCCCTCGCTCACCTGTTCTTCCAGGTCTGCATCTCCATGACATGGGTGTGTTCCCCAGGGCGTGGAAAAAGGGAAGACTCTGTTTGCTGCGGAAGGAGGGCCGACCTGCCGACCAACCCGCTGGTTATCGCCCGGTCGTGCTGCTGGACGAGGTCGGCAAATTCTTGGAGAGAATTATTGCCGACCGTATCGTTCAGCACCTTGAGGAGACCGGACCAAATCTGGCGCCCTGCCAATATGGCTTCCGTAGAGGTAGGTCCACAGTGGACGCGGTGCAGGACCTCAAGAGGTTGTCGGAAGAGGCAGTGGGGAGGGGGGAGAGTGTTCTCGCTATATCACTAGAAAATGGGTGCGTGTACTTATGTAGGCGCGTGAGAAGTTATCCTTCTTTGGCATCGTTTAAAATTAGTTTTTAATTGCATGCAAATAATTAATTACAATAAATTAATAAAAAGTCTGGAAAAGGACACAGTCAATAAAGTTCAGTTTTAATTTGAAAAAATAAATAAATAATCAAAATATTCAATTAAAATCGCTACTGAATATAATTTATTAGAACATATGTGATTTGCACTTGTATGAAACTCAAACACGTATTCCGAATATACAAACTAGAAACATGTGGATAAATATTATAAATATGAATACCTATAACTGTTACTTTATTACAAAAAATAAAGATGTGGTTTTTGGTTCTACTACACCAATGGTCAAGAGATGGCGCTGTAGTCTCCTGAATCGCGCTTTGGTTCCGTTGTTCCAGATTAATAAATACTTTTGATAGGCCTTCACAATGCACCCACTAAATAGAGATTGTATTTCTATTTTGTTGGTAGATTTTCTTAATGTGCGGTAAACACAAAAGTAACGCATGATTGGTCGCTAAAGCGACCAACTTCATTATGTTAAAATTTTATGTTACAGTGATGCGCGCGCATCTTAAAATTTCACTCTCATCATTTTTTCATAACGCGCCTAAAGAAGTATAACTTCAATAAAGCGAATGCTTTCAACACGATCCCCTTCAGCTGCATCACAAGAGCCCTGTACCACCACGGGGTCCCGTTATACCTGAGGCGAGTGGTAGAGGACTACCTGCGCGATCGAGAGCTTCTTTACAATGACGCCAGCGGTGTAGTGAAGGTGAGGAGCATGGTGTGCGGGGTTCCACAGGGGTCGGTCCTGGGACCGCTCCTCTGGAACCTTGCTTACGACTGGGTCTTGAGGGGGACGCTCTTGCCCCGAACAGCAGTCATTTGCTATGCGGATGACACGTTGATCTCTGTTCGAGGTAAGACCTATGAGGACATACGACGGCTGGGGTCAGCGAGTGCCACACAGGTGGTCAGGAGAATAGGCATGCTCGGCATAAAGGTGGCTGCTTATAAAACAAGGGCGATAATGTTCTATAGCTCCAGAGGCAAGCCACCGGCCGGTGCCTATGTCAAGGTGGACGAAGCCAGAGTGCCCATAGAGTCCACCTTGAAATACCTGGGGTTGGTGCTAGATGCAAAGTGGCGTTTTGACGAGCATTTTAGGCAACTGACGCCAAGGTTGGTTAGCGCGGCGGCGGCACTCAGCAGGCTGTTGCCGAATGTCGGTGGTCCCAGCGCCAGTTGTCGCAAACTATATGCTGGGGTCATTAGGAGCATGGCCCTCTATGGGGCGCCCATATGGGCAGAATGTATAGACGCGAGGAGCGAGGCCTTGCTACGGAGGCCGCAGAGAATAGTGGCGCAAAGATCTGCGCGAGCCTATTGCACCATGTCATTTGCGGCCGCCTGCGCAATAACAGGGTCCCCTCCGTGGGCGTTGGAGGCGAAAGCATAGAGACACGTATTTTTGCTTTTTTCTACCTCCCTCCCTATATATCTGTCTCCCTCGCTCACCTGTTCTGCTAGGTCTGCATCTCCTCAGGCTCTCCATCTTCAAATACAATATCAACTATAAGTCTCCCTCCCTCCCTACATATCTGTCTCCCTCGCTCACCTGTTCTTCCTGGTCTGCATCTCCTCCAGCACTCCATCTTCAAACACAGTATCAGCTTTAAGTCCCCCTCCCTCCCTAAATATCTCTGTCTCCCTCGCTCACCTGTTCTGCCAGATCTGCATCTCCTCAGGCTCTCCATCTTCAAATACAATATCAGCTATAAGTCTCCCTCCCTCCCTATATATCTCTGTCTCCCTCGCTCACCTGTTCTTCCAGGTCTACATCTCCTCCAGCACTCCATCTTCAAACACAGTATCAGCTTTAAGTCCCCCTCCCTCCATATATATCTCTGTCTCCCTCGCTCACCTGTTCTTCCAGGTCTGCATCTCCTCCAGCACTCCATCTTCAAACACAGTATCAGCTTTAAGTCCCCCTCCCTCCCTAAATATCTCTGTCTCCCTCGCTCACCTGTTCTGCCAGATCTGCATCTCCTCAGGCTCTCCATCTTCAAATACAATATCAGCTATAAGTCTCCCTCCCTCCCTATATATCTCTGTCTCCCTCGCTCACCTGTTCTTCCAGGTCTACATCTCCTCCAGCACTCCATCTTCAAACACAGTATCAGCTTTAAGTCCCCCTCCCTCCATATATATATCTGTCTCCCTCGCTCACCTGTTCTTCCAGGTCTGCATCTCCTCCAGCACTCCATCTTCAAACACAGTATCAGCTTTAAGTCCCCCTCCCTCCATATATATATCTGTCTCCCTCGCTCACCTGTTCTTCCAGGTCTGCATCTCCTCCAGCACTCCATCTTCAAACACAGTATCAGCTTTAAGTCCCCCTCCCTCCATATATATCTCTGTCCCTCGCTCACCTGTTCTTCCAGGTCTGCATCTCCTCCAGCACTCCATCTTCAAACACAGTATCAGCTGTAAGTCTCCCTCCCTCCCTACATATCTCTGTCTCCCTCGCTCACCTGTTCTGCCAGATCTGCATCTCCTCAGGCTCTCCATCTTCAAATACAATATCAGCTATAAGTCTCCCGCGCTCCCTATATATCTGTCTCTCTCGCTCACCTGTTCTTCCTGGTCTGCATCTTCTCCAGCTCTCCGTCTTCAAACACAGTATCAGCTATAAGTCTCCCTCTGCCTATATATCTCTGTCTCCCTCGCTCACCTGTTCTTCCTGGTCTGCATCTTCTCGGTGCGCCGCCTGAACGCGAGGTAGGGGTTATTCGACGATTGGCCCGGCCGACTCTCGGTCTTCACGGATAGAATAAGCGCGTGTTGCTGGCGAAAAACATATCAATAAATATATATTTCCAACACTCACACCAATTAGCCTAGCCCCAAAGTAAGCACTGTAAGGCTTGTGTTATGGTATACTAGGGTAATGGATATTATACATATACTGTACCCTTAGAACCAATAACGAATTCGTATTGTTTGCGAGTCCGAAATGTCATTGTCAAATGTGTACTGATTTTTAGTTCTCGTTACGTACTTTGTGCCGCTGCTGTTCAAGTTTCCATACAAACTTTGACATTGACATTTCGGTTTACAAACTATTCGAATTCGATAATGGTTCGTGCTAGGGGTACTGTACATATATAGGTATATTTTTATAGAAATACATATTAAACATCCATGGCTGGAGTACAAATGCTCGTATTCATCACACAAACATCAGCCCCCACCGAGAATCGACCCCGAGAGGTCCCTCTCGAGTCGGCGACACCATGAAACCGTACAAACCACTCGGCCACGGAGGTTCTCAAATCAATATCAATATCTATATTTAAAAAACCCAAAAGTGACTGACTGACATAGTGATCTATCAACGCACAGCCCAAACTACTGGACGGATCGGGCTGAAATTTGGCATGCAGGTAGATGTTATGACGTAGGCATCCGCTAAGAAAGGATTTTGATCAATTCTACCCCCAAGGGGATAAAATAGGGAATGAAAGTTTGTATGAAACTTTGTCAATTTTAAACCGATCGGGCTGAGACTTTGCATGCAGGTATAAGAAGAATCATAGATGAATGTCATTGTGTATAATACAAGCCTGAGAACAAAAACTGTAGTCTACACTTCAGCTCTACACCGAAGCGAAGGGAGGGCGGGCCGCTAGTGCTATCATAATGTTAATCTGTTTACTAGTGGGTGCATGCGACTTGGTCTGCGTGAAAAAATTTATTCTACCTCCCATTTACACCAAAATCCTTTCTAAGTGCAAGCCTACATCATAATAGCTCTATTTTTGTCAAATTTTAGTACAATCCGTTTAGCGGTTTGACCTGTGCGATCAGTCAGTAACGGTTGCCTTTTATGTATACAGATTTTGGTCCATGGAAGACCACAAGTTTACTGACCCGATTAGACTTCACATTTGGAATTAAGTAAAATCTAAAAACAATATATTTAAAAAAAAAATAAGGAACTATATCGACAGTGGAAAGGCAAAATCGCTTATACGACTCTGTGGTCGGAAATGAGTTATATAAATCATTTGAATCAGCTTAAGCTCTACTATTCTGGCAGCGTTCTCTAGGCCTAGACTTGGATTAGGCGGCAGTGTATCCTTGTCATTCTCAATACAGAGTGCAAGTGAGGGACTGGTGCTGGATCTGTTTTTGGGTCTGGAGAATGATGTCAGAATGGATATGAACTTGTACCTAATATTTAGTTTTGTATTTTTGAAGTGTTATTTATCGTAAGTCTACTTCGTAAGTAATTTTTTTACGCATGCAGTGGCAGCCTTTAAGTAAGGCAGCACTAAGAATTGTTTTCTTTATTTCTTTCTCAGTTTGTACTTTTATTTGGTGTTTGTTTTGTTGGCTGTCCTTAATAAATAAAGAAATAAATAAATAAATTTGGCGTATGATTTGCTTGACAAAAAATGTATGGGAAGTGAATTTTCGCTAAAGCGACATCTAATTCGTAAAGTAAAGGCACTATGTAACTTTGTAATAGGTGGATATTTAGAAAGTATTATTTAATTAACTATTTTTTTTTATTTTCATGGCGTTACTTCTCATTTAAAATAAGTTATGATTTTTTTGTGTGAAAAACAAAACTTTGGTCCTGCTTTCTGTAAGTTACCAAAGTGGCGTTTAAGGGTTTTCGCTTTTCCATTGTCCATATACATACTCTTAAGTATCCTACTTATCCACTTTTTAAGTAAAAAGAGTGGAAAACAAGCGTTTGGTCCGCCTGATGGTGATATGACAAGTTAGGGATGCGCCGATCCGATCCGATCATTTGAAAGATCGGATCGGAAGGCATACGATCCGGTAATTTTCAGATCGGATCGAGGCCATACGATTTTTTGCCGGATCGTTACAAAACTTGAAAGATCGGATCGCTTGGATCGTATGAATTAAAACGCGGTTTGTTTACAATAAATTGGGTAGGTACTTACTAAGGTTTCTGTTACGAACTTTATCTTTGTTTACATTTCAACTTGGCGGCATTCTTTGCAGGTGGATCCGTTAATCTTATACATTCTATTATTATAAACAAAAGTTGTACCTGATTAGGTGTGACAATTATTGATAGGTTTACCAAATAAAAATCTAAAATAATTTGTCTTATTTATTGTATCCAATCCAACCGATTTCTTGAAGATCGGATCCGCGGATCGGATCGCATTTCGTCGATCACGCACATCCCTATGACAAGTGATAGCTTCGGTACCGCGTTTATAGGCTATGATGGCCGCTTACCTATAGACGGGCCATACCCTTGTTTGGCACCCCTTTAACATAATATAAGAATAATTTCTTTTTGACGAAATTGACGACCTCCGTGGCCGAGTGGTTTGTACGCCGGGTTTCATGGTGTCGCCGACTCGAGAGGTCCCGAGAGGGTTCGAATCCCGGTGGGGGCAGATGTTTGTGTGATGAATACGAGCATTTGTACTCCAGTCATGGATGTTAATTATGTATTTCTATATAAATATACTTATATATGTACAGTATATGTATTCTATCCGTTACCCTAGTATCCCATAACACAAGCCTTATATTGCTTACTTTGGGGCTAGGCTAATTGGTGTGTGTGTGTTGGAAATGTTTATTATTTATTTATTTTTGAAGCATGTAACTGCTCGATGTCTTAATCTAAAGAAAATATTACTAGAAAAAAAAGCAAGCGGACCAGGCAGCAGACGGGACTCGAACCCGCACCCTTCGCTATCCGGGGGAATGCCCTGACTAATTACGCTACCGCGGCCCTGACAGCCGTGTCAAATTCTTTCCAGTCTATCTTAAGCTGCAAGACAGCGCCATCTCATCGCATTGTAGGTAACCCACAAAATAAAAATTATAATAACTATAATTGCTATTTCTTCTTTCAAATGTTTAATACTTGTAAAAGGTATTCAAGGTTGCCTACAATGCGAAGAGATGGCGCTGCCTTGCAGCTTAAGAAAGGCTACAAAGAATTTGACAGGGTCGTCAGGGCCGCGGTAGCATAATTGGTCAGTGCATTACGCCCGGATAGCGAAGGGTGCGGGTTCCGAGTCCCGTCTGCTGCCTGGTCCGCGTGGAATTTTTCCTAGTAATATTCTCTTTAGATATAACAATAAATTCGCACTTACCGTGGTCAGCCGCTTGTTCAGCCAATAGTCGTACACCGCCGTCACCAGATCATCGTGCCTCTCCAGCAACAACTTCGCCTCGTGCAGCGTCACCACCGTCTGGCCGGAGCTTCTCTCGAGCTTGTCCATCATTTGCTCGAACTTCCACTCTGAGAGAAGGTGGGGAGAAGAAGTCTGTCAGAGGGTTGGTGAATGCTCTTACTCGTAATAAAAACACCAAGGGGAATGTTTCATCATCATCAGCCTATTAATGTCCCCACTGCTGGGGCACAGGCCTTCCCTATGGATGGAATAGAGAGATTGGGCCATGACCCACCACGCGGGCCCAGTGCGGATTGGTGGGTGCTAACGACTGCAGATGCAGCCGGGACCAACGGCTTAACGTGCCTTCCGAAGCACGGAGGAGCTCGAGACAGTAATTTTTGGTCACCCATCCAATGACCGACCACTGCGAAAGTTGCTTAAATTCAACGATCGCAGCCGAACGCGCTAACCACTTGCGCCATCGAGCTCCTCTGAGGAGAATGTTTAAATAAAACTATTCCATCCGAAGTGCCGATTATGGACTCAAAAGCGTCCCCCAGGAAGACAGATGCGTTGGGACGATGACCTTAAATGTGCTGTTCCGATCTCCACTGAGGTTGCGAATGCATACAGCAAGAAAAGTTGACGATCCAAAATCCAGTTTCAGATGACAACACTTTAGAAATACATGGGAGCTTTGAAAACATATTATGTCCAAATCTTTATCCCCCATTGATCTCATTGTAAGTTCGTTCGCATTATCGAAATACATTTCATGCAAATGCATATAAACCCGGGCTTGTTTACCAGTTAACTTTCAAACCTAAATCAGTCTGAAATACATTAGGAGCGTTTTATTTAGGTTTGGCTCTACCTTAACCTTAAAAAACCGGTTTTCCTAAAAAGAGAAATCAAATAGGTATTGAATTAATTTAGCGGTTTTTAAAGGGTTTCATTTCGCTCTTACTGAGGGCATCGCCTTCGTCGTTTCAATTCAAATTTATAATGATTTTATGTCAGTTTCTTTCTAACTACAGAGCGAGTCAGTGAAGTTGTGTGTCAGTACACAACTACAAAATGAATAACTTGACTCACTAGAAGCTAGCAAACGTATCAATAAATGCATCAATCTCTGAGCATGAACAAGTTGTGACTTGATTAGTTCAAACAAAACAAACTTCAAGCGATATCGACGCGTCTACGTGACGCTCTGGATTAAACCGGTTTATTAAGGTTTTAGGTATCGCTTTCATTTCGGACGCGCTCCGAACGAAACCTTTACTAAAGACCGGTATTAACCTTTATTTACCGGTATTTTCGAAACCGGTTACAAGCCCTGATATAAACCAGTCATGCATTCACAACATTAAGGCGCTATAAGTGCTACCTGCATCTGCTGCCTGCAGCAGAGATCGAAATAGCACGTCTAATGACCGCAGGGAAAAATTGGCTCCGGGTCGCACAACATCGTTGAAGGTTGAGTAATCTGAAGGACGCCTGCACCACGGTAATAATATCATACAGTATTCTATCTTCATACAAACGGTCGGAAAGCGAGTCATACCTACGCCACTCGAGTTCGATGTGCTCTCGGCGTGCACCCAGTCGCGAATGCGCCGCCGCGCCGCAACGACGACCGAACGGTCTGAATTGTTTTTTATGCAGTTAGCCGTGCTTAAACGTGCGTTTTTTATTGTAAATATTTGATTTAATTAAGTAGATACCTACATAATTTAGTATGGAAAGGAACAAACGACGATCAATATCGTACAACAGCACAATTGCTGTTTTTGGTTGCTTGAACTCTTCAATAACACACCCAGAGATATCATTTTTTAAATTACCTGAAATATTGGAAAGGTGTCTTACCTTTATAGAATATTTTTTATATACCTATCTACTAGTACGTTATTTGTTTCTAATATTTAGGTATTTCGGTTTTTCCATCGGGCAAAATATCTGGAATAATATATAAATAAGTGGTTAGGATGAAAAAAGAGACAAACGAGTAATCTACCTACACTCGCGTTAAAAACAAAACTACATAAAATACTGTAGGCTGGCGGCCCTACCGCGTGCCAACGCAGCGCTCGGTCGTAGGCATTTATTTTCAAGGACAGGGCGGAGTCACAATACTGTATAGATAATATTACCGTGCCTGCACCTAGGGTTACTAGATGATAAAACCAAAAGTCCGGAGAAAAGGCTTGATTTCCATTGAAAAATCCTGAGATTTTTTACATTTTGAGAATTTTCTCTCAAATGTACGTAATAATTTAAAAAAAGTCGTAATATTATCGTTTATACTCTGCTTATACTTTTAAATCAATGTAATTTGAAGAGCTAAACATGTGGGGCATTATATGAATGCATAATTAAAGAAAAAACCTTACTTAAAAATGTATCTTCACATATTAAGTATGATAAATCTGATTAAGTTAAGATTAACTTGGATAATAATGTACTGATTTTAATTGTGCAATTATTACCAATAGAAAATTATTTTTAGTTTGTTTAACTTTTTATTAAAGATATCTTTAATACGTAAGCTGTATTTTATTGGGAATTCATAAAATCCTGAGATTTCATGAGATTTGCAAAATCCAGCCGCAATCCTGAGAAGAGTCCAAAAATCCTGAAATCTTAGGACAAATCCTGCGATATGGTAACCCTACCTGCACCCAAAAAGTCGAAAGGGTTTTTGGCGGGATTTCATCGAGTGCGGTTGGTGTCTTATTTTAATTATTCTTAAATCCGTTCATTGTGGATATTGTGAAATAAAATTGGTGTGGTTTTGTGTAACAACTGTCTGCGTAACTGAAGAATTAGTGGAATCATTAAAATATACGCAATTCCGGTCAAGTGGACGTGAGAATTTTATTGTAGTGTTGACTACCTCACAGAAGCTTATCGAAAAAGCCAACTCGATACATTTCGTGCCAAACACTCCAAGAAACATTAGAATGCGTCACACCGACATTCTAATGTATAAACAAAAAGAAGATAAATTTAATTAAAGACCAGGCTGTATGGGCATTGTTCCCTTTGCCTTCCCTAGAACGGGAGAACTTCAACAAAAAAAAAAACCAAAAGGTCGAGACAGGCTAAAAGAGAGAGAAAAACTCAACTAATAACCTGTTGCTAAGATATTTGTCGCCAGAATAAGCCTAGCTTTACTGGAGATTGATAAATTGAAGCTGGCTGAAAGTGCGTTTATAAACCTTTTTTTTTTCTGGAAAAGGCGTTACACCTCCCTTAACCTCCAGGAGTCGCGAGAACAGGGTATCTGGTGACTCATCCTCCGCTCATTTCACCCAGCTCCGTCAGCTTGGTGAAATGAGCAAGGCCCTACCCAGTAAAAACCAGAAAATATAATGCGATTTAACTAAGAATAGGACCGACTGGGCGCCATATTTTGACGTCATAGCTGTCAATTCAAACCAAATAGGTAGAGTGAGCAAAAAAAGTTTTTATTTAATAAAACTTATTTACTGAGATTAATTGCGAAAACACATCAAATTTTTATTTTATAAAATTTATTTACTAAGATTGAGAAAAAAAGACAAGCGATTTTTAATAATATTTTTTTATGAAGACTGTATGAGAAAAAACATTAATCAGAATCTAGCTCTTCAATTCCGCTCATCTCTGCATTACCGCCGGAGTAGTTATGATTAATCATGCACTATTACTAGGTCACATACGAACATGCATCCTATATGTAAACAAAAGTTTTAAATCTATTTTCTGAACGCAACTTAAAGTGACGTTTGGTTGACGATTAAGGTTATCAACCATTCATAGCCAAAGCTCAATAAATGAAAAAAAAATATCAACCAATATTAATTATCAATATTTGGTTTTTATTCTAGAATTAGCCGAGTGCTAAAAAAGGGTTCCAAGATTTTTTTGCAAATCGTACTTTTCAAGCCACATTTGACAAATGGAGGTCATTGGCTTTCCTATTCTTAATTGAATCGCACTTATACTCCTGCACCTTTCACGTGTCACAAACCCCAAGGACCGCGGTCCCTGACATATGGTGTCAGGAGGGCTGGCGGACGTGGTATCCTACATGACACTGTTCACGAGCCCGCCGGTGCGTTAATAAACCTAGATAATATGCTTGAGGGTTTCTGCCCACTATTCCACTATATGGCATCGACAATCGCTAACAGAGCTAAGGAGATAAGTTATCTGCCTACCTTTTCGCCTTACGGCAACAACTATGCTGCTAGAACTACGTGGTAAGGTCATCACAAATACAAAGGAGAGGAGAACTGAATTCGGGCAAGCTACGAGCCATTGACACTTTAATACTGGAATCAACGGTATTAAATATCCTAGATACACCAACACGAACAAAATCATGCCCGAAACCTGTCCACAAGGTACATTGGACGATCCACGGAGCTCCGTAAGATGATCGCGTAGTCCAAACAATATAAGGCATTATTTAAACATTGAAAATCATCTTTAAAGCATACTATATAAGGTCTTAATTAAAACGGACGCGTCAAAGAGTTATGACAGTCCGATATGTAAGCTCGTAAAATTTTACGACTTATTGCTACATTCAGAAGAATAAAGACCTTATTTCTTTGACTCTACGCGCAATTCTGAATGCGCTGTTAGTAATAAAGCAGGTACGGTCCGTGAGAAAAAGAGACGGCTATATTATCGACCATGCATTTGCATATCACAAATATTTTCTATTAAATCAGTTTATAGTAAGTATAAAAACAAATTTTACTTCAAATGCGTTACTAAATTAACTAACATTGACTAAATACCTGTCGAAAAAACGACATTTTACATTATATAAGTATTTTTTTCGTCTGTTTTCACGGAGTTCAGCGGCATGTTGACTTTTCAACGGTCCGCGCGTGACTGTGAATCAAGAAGTGCTCGAGTCGTGTACAAGCACTTCTTGATTAGGACACATTTTGAGCGCACGTTGTGTATCTAGGGTATTTATTATCGTTGACTGGAATCCATTAACACTTAACATCAAGTGAGTAAGGTGAGATATTTATAGTTTGTGAGCAAATTGTGTTGTACTCGCGTCCTAGCTATGTGGCATTAGACTACGAATCGGGCAATGAGCACGGCTTCGTTGGGTTTGCGATGGCTGGCAGCAAGATCCTACAGAGAACAAACCAAAATCACAAAGTTCTCTTACCTAGTACCATCAGACGAGTGCACTCACACTTAACATCAGCTAGAAACAGTGGCGTAACGAGGGTCTTAGTTTTAGCTGCCCGGGACAAATTTTGTCACTAATCTAGTCCCTCTAAATGTGCTGCCCGGGACAGACAGCTCTTTCTTTCGACTGGCTGAGGTGGTTATCTTTGTTTAAGTTAGGAATACCTCGCTGCTGGGAGATGCTGACGGGATTATGTGGGACTGATCCCTTTTCCTCCCGTCCACTTGCTCTGTCAGCCCAGGACTGGTTCCACGTCTCTTCGAGCCATAAAATCCTGATAATGCCCCTTACTTCACAGACGCCACTCTACCGAACGAGGCAGACGGGGCAACGACACTGGGTGAGGCCACCGGGATACGGATACTACCGCGACGTCACCGGGAAGTGTCCGACTCCAATTGAGCGAGTGGAGAGAAGTCATCTACCAAGCTTCCTAGATTCTTCAAAAGCTACATCACAGATTAGCTAACACCTATGATAATGACCTCTTACTTAGCGTTTATTTATCAATGTTTATGATCTCGGGGTGCAGCTGCTTAAGCCAGCGCTATCCTCCGAGTGGATATGGTAATACTAAGACCAAGGCTCTGTGCCCCGTAGTCAGCTAGTTACCGACACATGGGCTGACGGAGCAACGACACTGGTTGATGCCACGCGAACTATTGTGAATACTTTCGCGACCTCACCAGAAAGTGTCCGATTCGAACGGATCACTCCACCTTTCCTCGAGGTCGAGAGCCAAGGTCACCTACCAGGCTTTCCAGATCCTTTTTTTTAATGTTCGAAAAATGCCTTACGCATCCTTTAGCCACCAGAGCGAGAAGAAGGCATCTGAGACTCCTCCCCGCTCATTCCAACCAGCCTTGAGGGCCCTACTTAACAGTATAATTCAGGCAATACTCCTGCACCGGTCACCCGGCATATATTTTGGGGACCGAGGTCCCCCCAATGCATGCCGCGAGTGCGGGTGTGATCGCGGCAACCGTTTCACGACATTTGTTCGCACTTAGTCGGATTCGCAAAAGAGCGGATTCACATTTCGCCGGATCAAGTACAGTAATATGAAAAAAACATTAATTATGTTAATAAATATTTTTCAAATCAGTGGGTTAAAAAAAATGCAATGTTTTTATATATTATCTAGAAAAACAGTGTACTACAAATGCCATCGAAGTTTGACATCACTCACTGACTTAATAGAAGAATTCCGAAAAAGCTAACTTTGCATTTATTTTTGAGACTTCTTAATAATCATCGTCCAAGTGACGTCCAAAAATATGGGAATAATTTGGACGAATTACGACGACAAAAAAATCTGTGATCGATTGTGTATTATTTACTTATACCAATGTTAGATATATATTTTTTGTATTTTGAAACAAAACAAAAGCCGAAAAAAGCTTGGCGTTTTCGTCGCAAGCGTTTTTCTTGCTAACCGTATTCCGGCAAAACGAGAATCCGTCCTTTTGCGAATCCGACCGTTCCCCGACTGTCCGCGCCGCGCAGGCTTCCCAGATCCTTCAAAAGTCACACCAAAGATAAACTTGCACCTGTCAGAATGGTCTCTCACCTGATGCGTTGGACAACAATGTGTATCATCATCATCATCATCGCCGGCGGGAGCGCACTCACCGTTCAGCTCGGGGTGCCGTTGCTGCTTGAGCCAGCGTTCATCCTCAGAATCGATGTCGTACTCAGGCGCCTCCTGCTCCTCCCAAAGCGCTGTCGAAAAACATTATATCTATTTATTTATTTATAATGGCACATTTTTTTTCACACACCAAATAGCCTAACTCCAAAGTAAGCACTGTAAGGCTTGTGTTATGGGATACTAGGGTCATCATCATCATCAGCCTATTAATGTCCCCACTGCTGGGGCACAGCACATTAGCCTTCCCTATGTGGTCCCTAGTGCGGATTGGCGGGTGCTAACGACTGCAGATGCAGCCGGGACCAACGGCTTAATGTGCCGTCCCGTTATGGGATACTAGGGCAACGGATAGAATACATACACATATATAAGTATATTTATATAGAAATACATATTAAACATCCATGACTGGAGTACGAATGCTCGTATTCATCACACAAATATCTGCCCCCACCGGGATTTGAAACCTCTCGAGTCGGCGACACCATCAAAGAAACCCGGCGTACAAACCACTCGGCCACGGAGGTCGTCTACACTACGTTACAATAACAGGAATTAGAAATAATATGCAATACAAACTGCACCAAAAAATGATCGCAAACTGCGAGACGAAAAAAAAGCGGTCAACTAGCCGATCATGGGATTAATCAGGATTTTCATGTTTCAGCATTATGTTAGACAGTAATGTTTTCATATCATTTCTAACATATTCATATACGTTGGCAGGAATCCATACTGATTCAATAAACTAGCTTCCGTTACCTAACGTTCTAACATTTATAACGCAAAAAACAATAAATTACAAAAGAAATGAAAAATTATGGGCATGCATGTACAATTTTTCGAGGTATGGTTGGGGTCTTGAAAAGGCCGCGCCGCCCTGTAAAGTACGATTTGACTAAGCCCATAAGTACAATATCGTTTCGTAATATGGCATTTAATGTAACTTTCCTACAAGCATTGTTTTCGTTTAGGACGAAATAACAATTGGTGTTAGATGTACGGAGTTTATTACTACCCTACACACTCTATTGTGTAATATTATAATATTACACAATAGAGTGTGTAGGGTAGTAAAATAATTTTCAATTTCAATTTTCAATATTCCATCTAAATTTGTGTAGACAGATAAAATTGATATTCTCCAAGACTTGTGGTCTATCTTTTGTGTCGAAAATGAAACTTTGTATGGAAAATTTGTTTCATTACGCAGACGACCGACGTCTAGTGCACTGCATTCAGTATTGCCAGCAGTAATTTGAAAAAATCCACTAAGGAAGTTGGTATTTTCTGTCAAAGATCCGTCAAAATCCTAATCTTTACCGTTAATAAAATGGGCCAAATAAAATGTATTTTTAGATTGATTTTCTCAGCCGTTTACGTTTATTAAAATATGGCGCCAAATTCAACAACATTAAAATATGTATTTATTTATTTATAATGGCACAATAACAGGCATCAGACAAAAAAAATCAATACAAGTACATAAAGATATGAAAAACTATGGCTTGTGCCCAATTACAATTGCGCACAACATTTACATACATAAATAGACATCGAACAAAAAAAAATTCTTAATTTATACATATATATTTATAACAGAGTTAAATATTATTATAATTCACAAACACCTCAATCAAAACAGGCTTTGCAGAGAGGGGAATAAATAATAAGTTTCATTTTTAGTGTTCAGCACAAATTTTTAACAAAGAATTCTTGAAAGAACGTAAGCTACAGTTAAACAGAGCAAATATTGTTAAAGTATGAACACATTCTGTTCAATGGGCTGTTCAGCGCAACATTATTTGTGGTGGAGGGTACACAAAATAATTGTTATTTACGCACAGACCGTGTGGGCACCTTAAACTTCAGAGCTTCAATCGGGCAACTGCCGGATGATCCATTGGCAATCCGATGAAGAGCACAGAGATCTCTAATATATCTACGTCTCTCCAAGGTGATCATATTAAAATAACGAAGACGATCAAAATAATCGTGTAATCTTTTCCGTAAACCACACTTCGCCGACAGGCAACTGTTAAGATAATTTACTTTATTATGCTATTTCATGCATGATAAATAATGTCTAAGTAGTCGTATATTAAACTAGCTGACCCAAGGAACTTTGTACCGCCATAAAAAAAAAATTAAAAAAACATTGTCCAGCGGACAAAAATTGTGAATCTAAACCATTCTTAGATCCCCTTGAACACACACAAAAAATTTCATCAAAATCGGTCCAGTCGTTTAAGAGAAGTTCAGTGACATACACACTCACAGAAGAATTATATATATAAAGATAGTCACTGCACTTCCGGCAAGATAATTCTGAGTTTAGCATTTCCTGTGAAAATAATTAAATAGTTTACCTGATATTTTTTTTATAATATTATATGTAAAATCTTAAATAATGGTAAATAAAATATTGTACTTTTAACTGTTAATGATTTGTAATGATTTTCTTTGTTTGTAACTTATTTTCTTTTGGCGCGTTTTGGCACTTCCGGTCTACGGAGAGGTGTTGCGAAATACCGTAGATAAATTAGTTTGTATCTGATTTAGGTGTTGAATTAAGCGCCATATTTTAATAAACGTAATCAGTTGAGAAAATCAAGCTAAAAAATATGTGCGCACTCACAATTTTTTCGCAAGTCGACGAGGTAAAAATTATCTTCGCAGTCTAGTCTCTCCTCAGTTTTTTTATGCATAATAGGCAATGCGTTTGACCACAATCTCGCCTGATGGAAAGCGATGATGAGGCCTAGGACGGTACACGCCTGCCTAGAAGATGCCTGTTCACTCTGGCCTTGAAGATGTCCAGAATATAAATTAAAAAAAAATAAGACTCCTAACTGATGTGGAAACGGCAAGATTAGTTTACTTTGGTTACTTTCATAGCGTTATGTCATATGGCCTTTTGTTGTGGGGCTCAGCTGCTAATATAGAAAGTATTTTCGTACTGCAAAAGAGAGCTGTTCGCGCCATATATAATTTAAAGGCAAGAGAATCTGTTAGAGAAATTTTTAAATAAATTAATATTTTAACACTGGTATCGCAATACATTTATGAAAATATATGTAAGAAACAACTATGACGCATTTGCAAAAAAAAAGTCAAACCCATAACTTTAACCCAAGATTTAAGAACAAGCTTGCCGTTCCATGTTTCAGACTCCAAAAATCAAGAGGTTCATTTCTGGGATGTAGTATTGCATTGTTTAACAAAGTTCCCCAAGATCTGATTGAGCTTCCACTAACCAAATTTAAATCTCAAGGCTATTATAAAGTTAATGATTATCTAAAAGATCGTAATGCATGGACATAGTGTTTCTTGTAATTTGTTATTTGATGGGTATTAGTCAGTTTTTGTAACAGTAATATGGTACCTTTCTAATGCCGCTTCCTATATACTAAATATAAAATTTATTGTAACTATATATCTATATCCTAAATGATGTAATGGAAGGTGACTTCAGAAGTATCTCTGAAGTCATTTTTCAACTTGACGACTCTGTATATATGAATACAGGGAGAAAAAAGCAGCCCATGCTGAGTTTCTTGCCGGTTCTTCTCAGTACAAGGTCTCCCGACGTAGTTTTGCGAACCGATGGCGTAGCTTCTTGACCTTCACAAGTGCTTGTAACATCCTAGACTGAATAAATGACTTTTCATTTCATATATTGGTCCGGAAAAACAGACCTCGGCAAGGAGTTCCACTTCCTAGCCAGAAGCAAATCGCTTCGTACGAATGGGAGGAACTTCGACAACATAAAGGTGAAAGCCCTATTGACGTATCGCATCCTTTACAGGATTAGTCGTCTGATTAAATGTAAAGGATGCGCAACGTCAATAAATAAATAAATCAGAGCTTAAATACCGTTGAAACTTGTTTTATTTAATGAGTGGTGTGCGTGAAAACTTAAGTCCCTGAAAATTTGTAGAATAGGGATGATGACTATTTTTTTTTCTTCGTTTATCAGGTAGATTATCATAAAGTATTGGACACGTATTTTTTCTTTTTTCACATAATATAAACATTGCAGAGATATATTGATTTGAAAAGTCGCATGACGTCACGTTTGAGTACACTTATAAGTGAAAATTCACTCAAAAGTGACGTCACGAGCCCCTACTCCCAAACTTTGACGCGCTATAACTTTGTCATTTTTTGGTTGATTGCCCAAAGAAAAAATACGTGTCCATTATTTTTTGATCATCGAACTGACGGACTAAATAGAATTTCGTTTACTGTGCCCCGTCATCACCCCTATTTATAGTTAATTTTTCAGCCACCAGCCGCGCTGCCGTCGGTAAGTGGTGTCTGTGAGGTTAGCTGTTTATGAGTACAAGTAGATGAAGTTAGTTGAACAATGAACAAAATTTGTTAGCGGCATTGGTCATTTCAAATTAACTCACAACAGCCCGCTTTTATTGAGACAACTTAGCGATCGCAGCGCTTCACTTATTTTGTCCATATTTCTGGGACACTATTATTTACAGCGATCGTTCTTCTCTCTAACGTCCATGGTTTAGAGACAATGTAGTATATTATCTAGTAGAGGAGCTCGATGGCGCAAGTGGTTAGCGCGTTCCGCAGCGATCGTTGAATTTAAGCAACTTTCGCAGTGGTCGGTCATTGGATGGGTGACCATAATTTACTATCTCGAGCTCCTCCGTGCTTCGGAAGGCACGTTAAGCCGTTGGGGACCAACGGCTGCATCTGCAGTCGTTAGCACCCACCAACCCGCACTGGGCCCGCGTGGTGGGTCATGGCCCAATCTCCCTATTCCATCCATAGGGAAGCCTGTGCCCCAGCAGTGGGGACATTAATAGGCTGATGATGTAGTATATTATAATAAGAGCCCTTTTACAAAATTGCGCCGCTGCCGTACTGATCGGCGCGTAGGTATATTTGCACTAGTATATATTGCATTTTACGGGTGATGTTTCGAGTCTTATAAAATAATTATTAATGAGCTAATTATAAAAATATTCACATATTTCAGTAGTTCAATGATGGTAGATTAGTTTTATGAAAGTTTTTGATAGTAATTTTATTTAATTCAATATCA